ACACATGTCATCGGTTCCCAATTGCACAGATCGATGCTCATGCTGTTGATCACTGGATTGTCTGGTCCAGACTCGATTATTTACAGACCGCCGCCATATAGCAGGAATATTGCTGAGTGCGGCGTAAAACTAACCTCACTCACTCACTCACTGTCTAGTTCACAGCTTGCCTGTATTAGTTACTCGCTTTGAGTGAGTGACTGACTTTTACCACATTTGCATCGTGGCGGTCTGGACAAGCCGACTGTCGAACGCAGGCCTGCTGTACATCTATCAGCCGATTACAAGACATGATTCGGGGGAGAGGGTATGGTTTTTAGCAATGTTCCAGCAATATCACGGCAAGAAACACCAGAAATGGGCTTCACACATTGTACCCATGTGAAGAATCGAATCTGGGTCTTTGGCGTGACCAGCCAAAGCTTTTTAACCACTAGGCTGCCCCACTACCCGATTCAGCGGATTGGTTGATTGGTTGGTGTTTTTTTTGTTTGACGCCGCACTCAGCAATATTACAGCTATATGGCGGCGGTCTGTAAATAATGGAGTCTGGACCAGACAATCCAGTGACAACATCATTAGCATGGATCTACCATGGGACACGACATGATGTGTCCACCAAGTCCGCGAGTCTGATCATCCGATCCCGTTAGTCGCCTGAGGCAACAAGCATGGGTAGCTGAGGACCAATTCTAACCCGGATCTTCAAGGGTTCGTTTTGTATGAAGCAGATAAAACCAAAGCTTTCGGATCAGACGAATGCCGCGTAAAAGCCAACTCCAGTCTAAGTAAACTTAGGCTCAGTATTATTTGTTACACTGCTATAGGCGTTTTCTGTAATATTTGACTAATAAAAAACCACCTGAAAAACAAAACAAAAAACATCTTGATACTAGTATCATACTGAACGTCACACATATTCATTTTGTATTAAATACAAATTCATCTAAAAAGACAAAAAAAAATTACTTAGACTGAAGCCAACACACTCACTCGCTCACTCACTCACTCCATCAGCAACATGGCGGTGAGTACTATGGCATGCATCTGTAGACCTTTAACATTGGAAAACATGACAAGATTTCCAAACATTTCAGGTTAAAAGAATACAGAAACAAAATTCGTAATAAAATCTTTAATAAAAATCCAATTCATGATGTCAATTACATATTGCATTGGAAGTGTGTATGAGATCATCAGTAATGTATTTTTTAACATTCATCAAGTATCTCTTTGAACATTCATTTTCATTCATAGAGATACTCGTATACTGGGGATACGTTTTTTGCAGTGAAGATCGATCACATAATTTTTTCATTGAAACAAACCCCTAAAATATTAATGATTCCAGACATATATGGTTCAGTATACAAAGAAACACCTTGCGCTGACAGTAACCATCACCATGGTGATGCTTATGACATTTGATATTTCAAGATTCTTGTAGAAGTTATATTTACCACAACATCAAGAAAATCTGTCACTCATGTATATATCTGTGCATAAATTAAGCACCACCATATGTTTTTACATATTAAATTTGTCTGAAATGAAATTCTAAACTCTTTCCCAAAAAATCCTTTATAATTTGATAGAGCAAGCATCTAACATTTCAGAAACGAAAATATCATTGAAATTACTATGTATTTTAATTAGGATAATTGCCTATATTTAAAACAGGTGTTTTTCTGTCCTAAAACATGTTACCTTATTTTGAAAAGTGAAAGTAATAATTGATTGTTGTGTGGCCTATACATTCGTTATTTATTGTGAATGGATGAAAGTTTGTAAACTAAGACTTAGGAAAAGTTACAAACTAAAAAAAAGGAAAATTTTAAAATGCAGTAAAAGTTGCTTTACAAACAAAACAAACAGATTTTAGCTGTAATTATCAGTATCCGACAAGGAGAAGTGTGTATTCATTACAATAAACTCAAAATCATAAGAAATTTATTCCAGAATCTTATTAATGTGGCCTTTTTCAGTTTTTGTCAATTAGCAATCTGAATTGTTTGAAAAAGTTCCGAATCTTTTATATTCAGGTTCTTCCTGATTATGCATAATTAAAGCTTACTTGATGTAAGTGCCATCTTGGTATATAACAGAATTGTTATTTTTAGTCAAAACTTAATTTAATTGTGTAGTTTGAGCAGAGGAATAGTTATTTTGGGTAAAAATTCATTTCCCATCACATTTTCATCAACATATTCTTTCATAAAAAATAGAATAGGTTATGATATTTGTTAAACTGTCAGTGGATAAAGCTTCCTTAACTACAGTTTGATTAAATGGATGGCTATATCCAAACTTTTCTGTAGCATCACATCTTATTTTCAAAATACGTGTAGTGTGGTGCTTAATTAATGCACAGGTGTTAATAAACTTACAAAAAGACCTGCAAAATCATCTTTGATTTTACCTTATGAACTTCTTAGGAAAGTTTTTTCATACAAATTCTTTGGTATTTACAGTAACACAAAAAACCAAGATATACATTCTACATCCGGCATTTTACATACATTTTGAAAACAAATTTACCCATTTCTGTCAAGATATGGTATGTGTGTCCCTCCTGCCGGATATGGTTGTCAACATATAACCAATATTCAACATACAAAAACAATAATGTATCTAAAACAATGTAAACATGTTGAGTATGTGAATATCAATATATATACTACTCAAAAGAGGAAAACGGCCACCAAATTCTGTTATACTTTGAGCAAAATAAACATGCACATCTGTTGTTTTTATAACAATTTTTGATAGCCAATACACTGATGCTGTTTTAATAAAAGTTTATTCATTTATGTCATTGAGGGCAGTAGCAGAAGACAAGGTGTCACTAAACCTTCAAGCTGGAGAATCATGTCTTTTGAAGACTGAAGAACTTGTTCCTAAGCATTAGACTCAATTCACCTAACTGAATGAATATACATTCTTTTTTTTTTAGTGAGTGAGTGAGTGAGTTTAGTTTTACGCCACACTCAGCAATATCCCAGCTATATGGCGGCGGTCTGTAAAAAAATCGAGTCTGGACCAGAATATCCAGTGATCAACAGCATGAGCATCGATCTGCGCAATTGGGAACCGATGACATGTGTCAACCAAGTCAGCGAAACTGACCACCCGATCCCGTTAGTCGCCTCTTACGACAAGCATAGTCGCCTTTTATGGCAAGCACATGGGTTGGTGAAGACCTATTCTACCCCGGAATGTTCACGGGTCTATTTTTAGTTACTGCAATAGGTAGACCAGAGAGAGTGTGAGTGAGTGAGTTTAGTTTTAGGCCGCACTCAGCAATATTCCAGCCATAAGGCGGCGTTCTGTAAATAATCGAGTCTGGACCAGACAATCCAGTGATCAACAGAACAGAGAGATCTTATGAAATGGCTCAAGGTTGAAGCCATTGGGCCTTAATAAAATCAATATTCTTCATCTGTTGTCGGCTAAAGTATCCGAGATTGTTCATGAACACCGGGTGTCATCAGTGTTTGATGAAAACACAAGATCAAGATCTAATCAGTCATGCAATGGTTTTGATTGATTGAGTCTAGTTTTACATCACACTCAACAGTATTCCAGCTATATGGCGGCAGTCTGTAAATAATCGAGTTTGGACCAGACGATCCAGTGATCAACAGCATGAGCATTGATCTACGCAATTGGGATACGATGACATGTGTCAACCAAGTCAGCGAGCCTGACCACTCGATCCCGTTAGTCACCTCTTACGACAAGCATGGGTCACTGAGAATTAATTCTAACCCGGATCTTCAAGGGTCCCATGCAATTTAGCAAGATTTATTGTAATTAAGTAGGTTTCCCAAGAAGTGGGTCATGTTACTACTTTGAACAATTTTCAAGTTTCATAGAAAAACCCAAAGTCTCAAACTTTTACTATTTGTAGAAACCCACGAGTATGGTATGGCACTGTCAAACTTAATTAGGATACGTCCATATTTAACCCACAAGCATACGTTTCTGGTGACACAAAGGGACACGACTCTGAACAGCTAATTACAGAGCCTCAGCAGATAGTCTCCCTTGCAGAAGTCAAGGAGCAGAGGCAGTGAGACATACCGTATATTACCGCACGGTAATGCAAAGAAAGATTTGATATTAAGATAAGCTGTGAATATATTTTGTGCAATTTGTATCTAAGCTACTGTTGATGCTAGTTGTTGGGTCTCTATAATGCAATATTGTTTAGTGCAGTCCTATGTGATGCGATGCTTCAGGTTGACTTGGATACACCATGACATTCTCAGATACATTATACTGAGCTGATCAGTACTTGCTTAATTAATGCAGAGAGCCAGGCAAGGTTACAAGTTCCATCTTTTAATATGTATGTGTACAAGAAGATAAAACTGCCGATCTTCAGCCCTCAGAGCAGTTGGTCATTCTCACAATATTTAGTTTACTGGCGTGTGTGTGTATGTGTGTGTGTGTGTGAGAGAGATATATATATATATAGCTGTAATGTACATCAAATGATGTATTGTACCCTAAGTTTCCTTGCTGATCTGATTCACATATTACTTCCATGCACTTTATAGTATTAGGGATCTATATATATATCTATATATTGATGGACCCCCTGACACACGCACGCACACAAACACACACACACACACTTTTCAAAATTCCCCGATCCCCCCATGGTGAGTGACTTTGGTTTAACGCCGCTTTTAGCAATATTCCACCAATATCACAGCGGGGGACACCAGAAATGGGGGGGAATCGAACCCTGTGATGAGCGAATGTTTTAACCACTAGGCCACCACACCCACCGCCCTATATATATTTAGCAGAGCAACAACTTTGTTGTCCAACCTGAACTTTATATGTATCAATATTGTATCATGATCCATGTTGTATCAGGAGATACTTCAGTCGTGACCTCCCTATCTACTATCAAGTTAAAACATGTAAAATTGTTTGTTTGAAAGCGTTACAGATTGTAATGCTAACATGTTCACAAAAATATTTCAACATTGTTACAAAAATATTTTATTTTGTCTGAAAACAATACTAGATAATTTTCATGAAAACTGAATATCCATTAAAGATTTTGTTTTCAATGATTGTTTAACAGTATTGAGATCAACAGGCTCCCAAGAGGTGAAGGTCACTGTCCTAGAAGGCGCCATCATGAGGAATCCATTGTCAGAGAATCTGCCGGAGATGCCAACTGCATCCAGCCAAACAAATGGAGCAATGCGATTAGATGCCACAGTGACTTCAAACTCGGTGTTCGACAGCATCTTAACATCAGTTACCTGGAACATAATTGAAGGGAAACATAAATACAAGACGCGGGCGTGAAAGTAGATTTTCACATCATTTATCACCTATAAAATTAGAAAGAACCAAGTTCATTATAATTATATTTTCACATGTGGAAATATTATTTCATATGTACCATTTTACACCATCCTGATGGCATTGTTGACATCATTCCTATCTCATTGCAACCTTAAATAGGCATGTCATCGTACCAGAAATGACATCACAGCTGAAGATTGTTGACATAATTCCTATCTCATTGCAACCTTAAATAGGCATGTCGTCATACCAGAAATGACATCACAGCTGAAGATTGTTGACATGATTCGACAAATTTGAAAAAATGGAAGTTGTGACCCACAAAAGTTCATAAAAGTATATTTTCATTTGTGTAAATATTATTTCACATGCACCAATATATTGTTTACATCATATTGGCATTGATGTTGTCATTCCCATTTTATTGCAACCTTAAGTCGGCATGACTGTAGATTCTTGACTTCATTCCAGAGCTCCAGATAAGATTTAGCTCATGTGGGTACTGTACCCACTGTAATTTTTTGGAGTGGGTATTATGAATGTTGAGTGGGTATTTCATTTTCCGTTACCCACTGCTTTCAAATATGTGCATATTTCAGTCATTTTACTCACCTAAGTATTATGTCATTGAGTAAGCTTACTAAGCAGGTATGTTCTGCCTTATGTCATACCTAATCAAAACCAACTTAAATATAATGGAAATGATTTCATAAAAAAATCACTCATCCTATACTGACAGTACAACACTTGTCCTATACTAACAGTACAACTTGATAGCAATCGATGTCTTTTTCATTACGCAAGCGATTTTTTATAAATATATTTTGTACGCATTTGTTTTAAACTTTTTGCGTATCTAACATTTTAAATGCGTAATTGGTACGCAACAATTATTTTTCAATACGTAATTTGAAATTTTCTATGCGTATTTTACCCGGATACGCAGCTTATCTGGGCCTCTGTTCATTCAATAAATTTTCCAAGATGGTGGTCATGATCAGTGGATTCACATGAGCTCACAAGAATAAAGACATAATTGGCAATAAAGAAACTATTATGCTGGTATGTCAATCATACAGATTTCATGCAAATCATGTCATAATCTCAGTGTTCAAGATTATTTCACCCACATGGTGTTGTCCACAAGTCACTTGTCTGTGAGGCTGATTGTGCTGGTCCAAGCTTATGTCGGTTTTACCAAGCTAACCCGAGTTACCAAACTGCTGTTAAACATGGCTACCTACTCAGACACAATGAGTGAGTGAGTGAGTGAGTTTAGTTTGACGCCGCTTTTGGCAATATTCCAGCAATATCACGGCGGGGACACCAGAAATGGTACCTATTGTACCTATGTGGGGATTCGAACCCGGGTCTTCTTCAGCGTGACGAGCGAACGCTTTAACCACTAGGCTACCCGGCCGCCCCTAAGATACAATAACTCCAAACCAGGCGGTCCTTGGTTTCTCAATAAAGACAAGACTAAGATCTTCACGCAAATAGTTTGAGAAGCACAACCTACCATAACTTGAGCCTTGGCGAGTCCAGTGACGCTGTTGTAGTAGGTGAGAGGGAGGTATGCGTTGATGGCACTGGCTGGGTCATTCAGGTACATGTAGACAAAACAGCTGGACCTGTCCGGACAGCCGGACGCACTGACAAGTGTGTCAATATCTTGATTAAAAACGGACTCAGACGATTTGGTCAGCTGTAAACAAAAACACATACTCTACAATAAAATCTCAGTAAATTCACTCGTGCCTAAATATCGGTATATCCCTCACTCTCGCTCGGGAAATACCAACATTTAGGCACTTGTGTCGTAAATATAGTATGACATGGGCACTCATATAATATCCTCTATAACATCGAACAAATACAAGCACATATTTCAATTTAACATACAATAGTTGATGAAGCAAAAAGGTGTAGAACCCAACAGCATGATGCACATTTTTCTTGTGAAACTGACATAATGTCCATATACACTTCTGTTAATTGCCATATTCCTCAAATTAATCCACATCAAGTCAACTTCACTCAACTCAATGAATTACAACAAAGCTCCATCATAAATTACATTTAGACATCTTTTATCTGGTTGAACTTACTATCTTGAAACACATGCAGGGTTTTAAGGTACACATGTTTAGTGAACACAAACATATAGAGAGGCAGAGAAAAAATATATATTGTAAAGGACACACATTAATATTCACTGTACAAAAACATCTACCAGAAATAAAAAGTTTATGTTATTTATAAACTACTACAACCATGCCATGATGTGTTTTATATTCTCTAAATTAATTTCCACAGTATACTTCAGTTGGACACACACAATAACAGATCCACAACAAGTGTGGAAGTGAGCACAGCTCACATACCCCCAGCTTCCCACTTTGGGACATGGAAATGACTGATATTGATATATATAATGTGACAAGGATCAGCAGCTCACAAGACTTTCTCCTTGACTCTACTAAACTTTATATACATGTTAGATAATAGTTTTGCCATGTACTGATTACAGTAATAATTTATGGAAACATTATTTTTGGGTGTTTTCCGTTTGAACTTGACTGTCTCATGTTGCACACAATGAAGTGGACGTAGATGAAGATTGTTAGTTTTTAGCACATGGCATATCTGCGGGTCATGATTAACTTGTGTATTAAGTTTGGTGAACCTAGCATGTATAGTTTCGATGATATGCTGTGGCCAGGTAACCATCAAACACATTTTGCACCAAGTAGTGTTTCCATGGAAACAACAACAAAGCAAATTCTGAAAAAAATTAAAATAGCAAAAGGCACATCAATTGGTATTGGTTAACATGTGTGTGAAGTTTGGTGAACCTAGCATGTAAACTTTAAGAGATATGCTCCGGACAAAACCATCAAACACATTTGGCACTAAGTCGTGTTTCCATGGAAACAGCAAAAAAACAAAATTCTGAAAAAAAAATTAAAATAACAATAGGCACATCAATGGGTAATGATTAACATGTGTGTGAAGTTTGGTGAACCTAGCATGTAAACTTTAAGAGATATGCTACGGACAAAGTATCGGGATGGAAGGACAGACGGACGGAAGGACAGAATGAACGCTATATACCCCTGTTACTTCGTAGCGGGGGTATATTAACACATCCACAATAATATATACACAATCTGAATCAAACGGAATTAGTTATATTAATACATATTAACTTCAACACAGATATACAGACACACACACTCATGCAGACATACACGCATGCACGGCACACACACACACACGCACATACATTCTTGTACCATCGTGTACGATTTCCAACCCAAACCTACAATCTGACACGATAATAATTGGGTGAGACATTTAGAAAAGAGATTCAATGTCTGATTTGTTTGGTAAAGTATCAATAACATCGTGACCAAACAAGCATCTTCACCTTGTACGTAACGTTCCATGTCTTGAGAGGCGTGAAGTTGTCCCATCGATACATCTGGATGTAGAGAACTCCAGTAGTGGCCTCAGCTGTCTTCGTCATGAGATGCACGGCTTCTTCACGGGGGAAGCTGGACTTAAGGAGGGTGAGGAAACTGGTGGCAGGGGCAAAGACATTGATGCCACTCTTGGGGTCCTTGACCTCAGTCAGGGGGATCTCGTCCACCACCATGTAGATGTTGAGGGAGTTGTCGTCCATGAAGGGGGAGATGAGGATGGGGGCGAAGAACCTCCTAGCGTAGTAGTGCAACATTTTCCATGTGCCCCTGTAGTCTGAGTTCGGACAATAAAACATATTTCATCACAAAATGTACTTTTTGGCAGTTCAGCAGATATTTTAGATCTATACATCTAAACAGACTGATCAATCAGTAGTCCAGCGGATTTAACTGACCAATTATCTAGGTCAGATGATAAAAGGTGGCCAGTACTGGATTTTAACATTTCAGCACTTAGACCATTCTCTTCCCACAGAGGTTACTTGTCATATCTTCCTACGAACCTCTGTTCTAATACGGCCATATTTCCCGGTTCTCGTAAAATCCCCTAGCGGCAAAAGATCGCAACACGAATTATCTCCCTTCTTTCTATCCAATCAGAACACGTGTTACATCGACTTAGATTCAACTTGACTAACACAAGCAAATGTGGGGTCACAAATATCCCCCATCTGCCGGGGACTTGTGTTGATATTACACACAAGACGTTTAATGGCTAGCTTGTCCGTTGTCATCGAGGGCGATGGAGACACCACTGATCCGCCATAACATGACTGAGTTCTGTCTAGAAGAAACGTTTGCGCATCGCGCAGGGGAAGAGGTTTAGTTTTCTCGAAGCATACGGAAATTACCGAGGCCTTGCGAATGATCACTTTTGAAACAACTGATTGCACAACTAAATCTGATTGCCTCCAATCACGAGTCTTGAACGCTCACACCATGAAAGGGCCGTATTAGAACAGAGGTTACGTAGGAAGATATGACAGGAGTAACCTCTGTGGGAAGAGAATGCACTTAGACATTTTACACGGAAAATATCACTGAAATCCATTTTTTAAAGACAAGACATGTCTGTATCCTTGGGTCTGAAGTTTGATTAATATTCTCTAGTCAGCAAAATTTGACATCTTCCAAATGCCCAATTGGAAATCTTTCTAGAACTGAAGTTGCTTGTCTTCTGTTAATTTTGAACCCTGCTTTTTTAATATAGTTACCCACGAAGATCGGGTTAGAATTGATCTTCAGTAACCCATGCTTGTCATAAGAGGCGACTAACGAGATCTGGTGGTCAGGCTTGCTGACTTGGTTGACACATGTCATCGTATTCCAGTTGCGTAGATCGATGCTCATTCTGTCGATCACTGGATTGTCTGGTCCAGACTTGATTATTTACAGATCGCCACCATATAGCCTGAATATTGTGAATAAAAAATTAAACTCACTCACTTATTTGAATATTGTTCAACATTTCTAGTAAGGATAAGAGATACATAGGTTAAGACTAGCTAAGAAACAACACACATTAAACTGACCTATACCCGCCCATGTTGGAGCCTGCCAGATATCATTGAGCTGCCAGTAGAGGGCGCCCATAGTCTGTCCCCGGCCATCTGACGTCAGGTTATTCTGCCAGCGTCGGTAGTGCTCACTCTGTGCCTGTATTGATACGGCCTGGTTGATCTGGGAGAGCAATCAAGATTTCATGAAAAGTGAGTGAGTGAGTATGGTTTTGCTCCGCTTTTAGTAATATTCCAGCAATATTGCGGTGGGGAACACCACAAATGAGTTTTCAAGGGGTTAACTTCATTTCAAAATCGCTGTATGAATAAATAACAGGTTTCTCCATACTGATGTTATTGGAAAATTGAGAAATATGGCACGAAAACCTTGTTCATGACATCAACCTCTGGTTTGTCTCATTGTCGAAAGAGGCGACTAACGGAATCCGGTGGTCAGGCTCGCTGACGTTGTTGACACATGTCATCATATCCAACCTGCATAGATCGATGATCATGCTGTCGATCATTGGATTGTCTGGTCCAGACTCAATTATTTACAGACAGCCGTCATACAGCTGGAATATTGCTGAGTGCGGCATAAAACTAAACTCGATCACTCACTCACTCACTCTGGTTTGTCTCATCCAGACTTGATCATATATGAGATGCCATTATTAAGCTGGGATATCGCGGAGAGTGGTAATTAAGCAAACAATAATCATCACATTCACTTCACTCACCTGTGTCAGGTAGATTATGTCACTAAATTTCTGTCTAGTATCAGGATTAATGGGTTCGTTGAAATGGAGGATTATTTCCTCAATCATCTCAATATTACCTGTAACAAAAGGAAAGCTTTGCAGCCAGATAATCCTTGCATATATACATAAATAATCATTCTATTTACATTTAAATTTGTTTGTTTATTCAATTCATTGTTTATCAAAAGCAAGTTGATTTAGGAGGAAACCATTTAACTTGGAGGAAGCAAAAGTGATTTAGATGAAAATAATAGTGACTTATTCATCAAAATGTTTTTAACAATTCAGAAAAACATAATAGCTCAAAACTCTAGAAACCCCTGACAAATTGCAAATAATAACAATGGCTATTCATAAAGCGCCTGTTTCCATGCACTTGTGCCTGCTCAAAGTGCTAACGCATTATTACCCCAGATAATCCAAGCCGCCTGTGAAAAGGCAGACGCGCATAGCAAGCCAATTATTTCGTGTAAGCCCGATAGGTTGCAAAGCTTTAAATTTAGATAGTATTGAGGGTTAACCTTTTTAGCAACAATCATGTGTAAGCCCAGGCTTTTTTTTATAATGGTAGCTACGCCCCTGAATGGTAACAGTCATATGACTTTTCCTACCAGGTACCCATGCACTGCTGGGTGAACAGAGGCAATTCATCGACAAACTCACTTGCCTAAGGTGATACCACATGAGTGCTTTGTTGTGGGGCAGGACTAGTCTGTCTCACAGACCCTGAACCATATTATATATTCAGAGACTAAGCATTAGTCTAGGGCAGGGCTAAAGTCCTAGAAACTATCAGGAATCAAGCTGCCAAACACGGTCACCGACTCAAGGAGTGTCTGCGACCAACACTGCTTAACTTCAACTGATTTGTGCAGCTTATCCACCCCTTCGGCAGGCAGTCAATGACAGATCTTGGACTGCGCAAATGATGTCATGAAAATTAGTGGTTCCCTTTCAATATTTCAAATTATTCTAAAAATACAATATTTTATCCTGTAATGATAACTGACCAAAAGGATGGTGATTCCTGTGGTAGGACATTGGTCCCCAGTAATCATAGTCCCCCGCGTCAAACACGTCCTCCAGGGTCTCGATGTCACACCAGGCCTGAATCCCGTACTCGGACGCGAATCGGGGAATCCGGTACGCAGAATCTTTCCATAGGTCCGAGGCATAGTCATAGAAGTGAACTGTTCACAGAAAATCATACAAGTTACTCAATACACAGGCTGTAATGACATGGCCTCATCACCTAGGTTACCAGACAAGATAACTGGAGAATTGGGAAGTAAAGCTATCATTCCAGTATACAGGAATAAGCACAGGACAACACGTCATATGCGTATGGTCCCATTCCACAAAGCATCACTAAGACAGCCGTCACTCACATACTTTAGCACTGACATGACAAGATAGTCCTAGCACCAAGGTCACTTTGGAGAATGGATAATTGATCTCTGAAAAAGGCAGGTAACTCTACAAAAAGGTAGGTAACTCTGTAACTCCATTTTCAGAAAAGATTTTTGCTGTTTCTTAATAATTAAGACCCTCATTGTAAGTAACTTGAAAGTTGTGAACACATATTATTGCAATAAACTCGCAGATTTATACAGAGATGCCAACCACTCCGGATTTCACAGAGTTACTCGGATTTTCAAAGACAAAATCTTCTGATTTCTCTTTAAAAAAACTCTGATTTTTTAGAAAAAAATCAGAATTTATTTTTGCGGTATCCAATTTTGTTTTTATTTTTTATTTATTTGAGTGAACACTGGTAAAAGCATTCAGAAGCTCAGCATGTGATCCTTTGGGTGTCGATTGTGTATATTGCGGGTTGTTGACGATGAAGTTTCCCAAAGTTTTTCCGAATGCATGTCATAGTCCGTATGAAAGTGTAAACAAAATGGAAAAGCCGAACACGCGCTCACCCCCTACTCACTTTTGGTGCTCAGGCCAGGATTTCAGCCACATGATTTGACATGACTTTTCCCATAATGACTTACAACTGGCAAGAATATGAAAGCTAAGGAAAATATTTTGGACATGTTAGTGAGAAAATAACTTACTGTCACCATAGAGCTCGGAGCCAGGGTCCTTGGCAACCCAACCCTCCTTCTCAGTCTCCTTGCCATCACTGGGGCTCGATGACAGATACACACGTGTTGTGTCTTCCTTGTTGACGATAGTCTTGAGTGTTGTCACGTACAGCTTGACATAGTCATCGTAGTAACGCTTGTAGTTCGCGTGGATGCCGTACCTGAAAGTCACATGACTTCAAGTGTCTGCACTTGTCGGTTATAGGACAGGTTGGGTTTTTTTTGTTTTTTGGTTGTTTAACCCATACCCAGAAATATTCCAGCTCCATGACAGAAATCTGACAAAAGTCCAGTCCATGGACCAGACATTCCAGTGACACTAAGATCATGAGCATCATCAATCCATACTATTTAAGCTGGATCAGACAATCAAGTGATTGACATCTTGAGTATCAATCCATCGAATTTAGATTCAATGACACACAATCAACCAAACACTTGAGCTGGACCATCCGACCATTTACGACAAATACAGTGTGCTGGCGATTGCAATGTATATCCCCATAAAAGGGACACCGAATTAGTGAGTGAGTGAGTGTGGTTTTACGCCACTTTTAGCAATATTCCAGCAACATCAATCAGCTACCCCACCGCCCTGGGACACAAAATAAATGGATACATTTGTAATTTTGGCAAGTCAGATTACGGCACTGAAGCAACATGTAAGAGGGTCATAGAGTACGCTCAAAGATCTGTAGGTTTGCATTTTAGAATTATTATGTGCCAAGAGGAATATTTGTGTGTCATAATTTACTCAGCTAGGTTATAAGCAGTTGTAAACTAGTGGTATGCATGTCCTTTTGATTTTCCATTCAGTTCATACATTTGAATAAATTCCTTTGCAAAAAATACCTAATCATGTCTGAACTGACTTCAACATATTTTGCATTATAGAGGTACAAATGTATGAAAACAGTGTGCATATTCCTGTATGTGCATTAAAGCACAGTGTGCACTTTGTTTTGAACATTTATAACTTCATAAATGCAAAAATCACATTGTACCCATGTGGGGACCACCACTAGAATCAATCTAGAAGTATAAATCTGTAGCCCAGAGAAGCAATCTAGATTGAGCCCTTCATTGACATAAGGGAACTGGCAATAACAGATTGGGGCAGTGGGGAAGCCCATTGGTTAAAGCGTTCGTTCATCATGCCGAAAGACAACGTCCGATTTCCCACATGGGTACAATGTGTGAAGCCCAATTCTGATGTCCCCCACCATGATATTGCTCAAATATTGCTAAAGGTGGTGTAAAAGCCAACTCACTCACTCAATAACGGATTAACAGATGAGGACATGACAACTGCACCTTCCATCTGAGAAGTTCATACCCACCAGTCCTGTCTCAGGCCTTTCTCATTCTCGTTGTTTCCTGCCCACAGTACGATGCAAGCATGGTGCCGGAGCCGTCGAACCTGTGGATAGACGTCATCAACAGGATATTCTACAAACCTCTGTATCAGTGCATTATACCCTTCAGTTTGGTTTCAGATCAGCTTTATTATCATTATTGACCATCTACTGCAACTACATAGATAAGGTTGTCTGGATCGGTGATATAGGTAATGCATTATATGTTATTGTAATGCATTATATGTTATTGTAATGCATTATATGTTATTGTAATGCATTATATGTTATTGTAATGCATTATATGTTATTGTAATGTGTGATATGTTATCCTAGTGTGTGATATCCATTACCTAAGTGTGTGATATCATATCAAAACCCATATGAACTATTTCCTTCCTCAGTATTGTCACAGCGCCACTGAGCATCTCTACGGTGAATATTAGGCGCTTTATTAAATAATAATAATACATTTGTAAAGCGCCTAATATCCACCTTACAGAGGCTCAGTGGCGCTAATACAGTGATAAAACTGGAACATATATACATAAAACAGAGAATGATTATCTACTGGTACACAGATAGAAATAGGTGAGTCTTAAGCTGTGATTTAAAGGTGTCTTTAGTGGTTGTATTTCCGAGGTTTTCGGGAAGTGAATTCCAGAGTTGTGGGCTGACGAAAGAGAAGGCGCATTCAAAAAGTCCATTGTGGGATGTGGGTTGAGTCAAGAGAGTCACTGGAGGATCTGAGATTCCACTGAGGTGAGTAAGGGGAGATAAGTTCTTTGAGATAGGATGGAAAGTTTTTATTGTAGAGGTGAGGTGAGGTGAAATCGGGTTTAACATCATGTGAGGGCTTATGGAGTTTGAAGGTGATTCTGGTTTTATAGCTAGAGATGGGAAGTGACTGAACATTATACTGACTCCGACACCAGTCCTTGATATGGTCATATTTTAACGCTTTTGGTAGAGCGGGATTGAACCCATGACCTTCCACTCTCCGGCGGACGCTCTAACCACTACACCACGGAGAGGCGGTATTTATTGTAGAGACAGTACATCGGGTGATTCTTGCAGAGATGGGAAGTGACTGAAGTTCATAGCGGGAAGAACAGGAGATACATTTGGCAGCTGAGTTCTGAATTTTTTTAAGTTTCTGAATTGATTTGGATGACATGTTGGCATACAGTGAGTTGCAATTGTCAAGTTTCGAGGTTACTAGGCATAAATAAATTATTATCATCATTATTATCCAAGTGGGTGATTTACGTTTTCCTAGTGTGTGATATCTATTTTCTAAGTGTGTGATATATCTAGCCTTGTATGTGATATCTATTATCCTTGTGTGACATGAACATTCTTCGCGTGTGAAAGATACGGTATCCCGTGTTCGATATGCACAAACCTTTGTGTGGTGTATGTGTAAGAACACAACTATCAGAATAAATTCCATAGAGAGTGAAAAGTTATCCTAAAGTACTGTCGGAAATAGAAAAAAAATGTTTTTTCACATTTATATCTATAATTTAGGTAGTTAATATGTGAAAGTGTGAAATGTCTGTTAAACTAAGTTCGGCCTAACTACAGTCGCAGTGGGAGGAAGATAGGAAACGTAAAAGAAGGATTTTACTGAGGAAAGTTTAGTGCAGAAATGAGCAATGCGTTTTTTTTCTAAATCCAATGTGACTTATGTAGAACAGACCATGGCTTTATGCAAATTAGTTTGCGATGATATTATATTACAAAGGACACTTTTTAAATGATTATTTTAAAATTGGACTTAGCATTTCATGCCAGGTGAGTCAATGGTCCGTCGTCATACATGGCTGAGCGACCTAATTGCCATCTATAGTCTGATCTATTGTTTTCAGCAGCTATTCGTATTTTTTGTAAGTTTTGCCCGATTTTACGAGTAAACATGTTTTTCTGGATACCCTCTTACGCATCCCTCTGAACGCCCAGTTAGGCCGATGTGGGTTATCTCAACATACGCTGTTTGCAGTTTAAATTTTAGTGCTACAGAGTAACAGCCTAAAAACAGTTTTTTTCTGTTTCCGACAGTACTTTAGCGTGTAAGGTGATACCCCAGTGTGATACGTACATATTTCTAGAATGACACATATTTCATTAGTGCTATACATAAGTATAACATGTTACCATAATGTGTGATACATGTATTTCTAGAATGTGATATTTTTACTTACTGACATACACTATTCTAATGTGTTTGCTTTTTAAATGCAATGTTCTACCTCCAGGCATTCTGTAAATAACAGAGTCTGGACCAGACAATCCAGTGACTGATATCATGAGCATTGATCTATACAGGTAGGATATGATTTATGAGTCAATCAAGTCAGCAAACCTGACCACCCGATCCCATTAGTCGCCTCTTACGACAAGCATGGGTTCTGAAGATCAGTTCTAACCCGGATCTTCACGGAAAATTCTAACATGTGACAATATATTCTAATTGTGTCATACCTGATGTGTGATCTCCTGGGACACGGTATCAAGGAAGTCTGGAGTAGTTGGGTAGAGAGCCACACTGAACATCAGGTCCTGCCAGATCATGATACCAAACTCGTCCGCCAAATCATAAAACACATCTGACTCATAAACCTGCCAAAGACAAACAAAACATTAAATACTTTAAAATATGTGTTAAGCTCTTGGTGCTTAATGAACACATTTCAATCATTGGTGAGTGAGTGAGTGAGTTTGGTTTTACGCTGCTTTTAGCAATATTCAAGCAATATCACGGCGGGGGACACCAGAAATGGGCTTCACACATTGTACCCATGTGGGGAATCAAACCCGGGTCTTCGGCGTGACCAGCGAACGCTTTAACCACTAGGCTACCCCACCGCCCCTCAATCATTGGTGAATGGCAACACATTTGTGCATGGACTGCATTCTGAACATTATTTGGAAGCGGCCAATCTATAAAGTCCCAACTTTGTGTATTGTGAGTGTAAATCAAAACATTATTTCCTCACAATAGTTTACATAAGATATTATCGATGACACAGTGTTAAAATCAATAATCATTAATAATTCATCCCATCGACGATATATCCTATTTTCAATTTATTTAGCCAGCCCTATCATCTATATAGGCTTTTCCTCTCTTGTCATGGAATCACAGGTGATAACTTTACTATCTAATATTATGATACTTGCCCCTCCTCCCCAAACTCTCATAGAGTTGATGTGAACATCAGCAGCTGACTGGAGCAGACGGCGTAGACCTTTTCTGGTAATATTTTCCTGAAAACTGTCTGCAGGTATCCAGTTAGATCCCTTGAAGAAAACTGGCACATTGTTTATCTTGAAGTAGAATGTTAAACCTGTGGGGAAAAAAAAAATGTATAGAATTTCTAAAATCAATAATGAATTTCTCAAATGAGATAATACAATGGTTGGTTGGGTGGTTGGTTGGTTGGTTTGTTGCTTCAAAAAAATGTATCTCTTTGTTATGGATATCAGTCCGGTCAGTGTGTGGATGGGAAGTGACACTGGTAATATAAAAGAGTGACCATATCATTTACACTGTACAGGAAATCCAGGTCACCATTGTATCTTTAAGCACAGTTAACTTCAGCCAAATAGTAAATGAGCGAGTTTAGTTTTACGCCACACTCAGCAATATTCCAGCTATATGGCAGCAGTCTGTAAATAATCGAGTCTGGACCAGACAATCCAGTGATCAACAGCATGAGCATCATTATACACAACTGGGTAACGATGACATGTGTCAACCAAGTCCACAAGCCTGACCACCTGATCCCATAAGTAGCCTCTTACGACAAGCATGGGATACTGAAGACCAATTCTAACCGGATCTTCACAGAAGGTACCATTCATGGTATTTCTCCAGATAAGCCCAGCTGTCGTAATTTGTAGAGATGTATCTATTAAAGGATTCTTAAATAAATGTCCTTGGCAGGCAAATTCGGATTATACACTGTTCCATCAGTGTTTGCCAATAATTTCTGCAAGTGGTAGCATAACAGTTGGGATTTTCAGAGTGCTTCCAGCTAATGTTCATTTACTCACTGAATATATTTCGCTTCAGGACAACACATTCCTAACCGACCTTGGTTGTTGCAAAACATCATCCCAGTAGTGGTGTTAATTGAAATAATCGAAGATTGGTCGAAGTGACCAAACGACCAAGCAATCGATCACATTTTCTCATAATCGAACATAAACGATTTTGGAACTACTGTTTTTGTCTTTGAAATACTTGACAATGGAACATATCGTAGAAGTTGTCAGGGCCTGAAAACGTGCTTAATTCTTAGAAAACTCACTTCACTAACTGAAAAGCCATGACTGAATATTTCTCTAAGACTCCAGGAAGTTTATGTTCATGATATATCAACATCACTTTAAAGTAGCAAGTTGCATCATGTGATACATATCTGCAATAACAACCTGGATAGGAAAATCTGAAAAATGATGCTAACCAATTTTTTTAGATGATTGTTCGTTGGTAATGAAGCAATCATCAATTGTGATATTTCAACCAATTCCCGACACTAGATCCCAGCCAACCTTGATTGTTGCAAAACATGATCCCAGCCAACCTTGATTGTTGCAAAACACGATCCCAGCCAACCTTGGTTGTTGCCAACATGACCCCCACCCACCTTGGTTGTTGCCAACATGATCCCCACCCACCTTGGTTGTTGCCAACATGATCCCCACCCACCTTGGTTGTTGCCAACATGATCCCCACCCACCCACCCACCTTGTTGTTGCCAACATGATCCCCACCCACCTTGGTTGTTGCCAACATGATCCCCCCACCTTGGTTGTTGCCAACATGATCCCCACCCACCTTGGTTGTTGCCAACATGATCCCCACCCACCTTGGTTGTTGCCAACATGATCCCCACCCACCTTGGTTGTTGCCAACATGATCCCCACCCACCTTGGTTGTTGCCAACATGATCCCCACCCACCTTGGTTGTTGCCAACATGATCCCACCCACCTTGGTTGTTGCCAACATGATCCCCACACACCTTGGTTGTTGCCAACATGACCCCCACCCACCTTGGTTGTTGCCAACAGGATCTTGCACCAGCTCTACAGTACGGAATCCCACACGACGTTGTTCATTGGACACCTCGTTGTTGCTGGTGAAGGTGACGTTGACGTTGTACCGAGTCTGGTTCCCATAACCATTTGGCCACCACCTCTCAATATTCTCCGTCTAAACCCGGGGAAAAAAAGAATCAGTCAGGTCCTGAGACTTTCAACATCGAGGCCGAACCAAACATGTATTTGGCACAGAATTGTTTTCAGCGCTACAGCGTCTGTTCCTTTGTCTTCCAGACCCCATCTCTTACCCCGCCTACATTCCCCCATTCCCTTCCTCATCATATGGTAACAGAAAATATTCATCAACTCTGGTGCTTACGCTAGGAATTGTGATTGTGAAGACAGATGAACTGTTTGTTGGTGTCAGTGTCAGTGGCATGGACTTCGTGACCGATGTCCCTACGATGCTGGTGGTGAGGACGCCCGAAACAGAGCCCCCGCTGACGTCGAAGTACACGCCCACATCCAGCAGCCATTCTCCTCCCGAATCTAGGATTGTACAGAGGAAAAACAATCAGATTTAACATTTAAGCAGCACAGACATTTTAAGATAATACTTCACTTACAGGCATCAGGAATATAGTGGGAATATTGCCGAGTGTGGCATAAAACAACATTTATTCCCTTTCAGATTTCTAGGTCGTCCTTAGAGTTTAAACCAAATTTCATCTACATGTAAAGTCAATGTTTTGATTTTGAACTACAGTTAAATATGGTCATTTGAACTTGTGGTCAAACAGGTAAGTAAAGAATTTGTTGTAGTCAATATAATGACACAATTGCAAAAAGATCATGATTTATGAAAAGGTATAGTATAACTGCTTGCATGTGATATCTTTGTTCACTATAACCATATTCTAAAGTACTGTCCTGACTGGTTTCAAGCCACAGGTTAAAGTAGTCATTAAAGCGTTCACGCCGAAGACCCGGGTTCGATTCCCCAAATGGGTACAATGTGTGAAGCCCATTTCTGGTGTCCCCCGCCATGACATTGCTGGAATATTGCTAAAAGCGGTGTAAAACCCAACTCACTCACTCACTTATATTCACAGATGCAAGTTTCACATTCACTTATGCAATTGTTTGGGATAGACTAAACAATTGTTTGTGATAGACTAAACAATAGTTTGGGATAGTTTGAGATAGACTAAACAATAGTTTGAGATTTAGACTAAACAATAGTGAGATAGACTTAGTTTGGATAGACTAAACATTAGTTTCTGAGGTTCAAACAATTGTTTGGGATAGACAACAATCAACAATTGAACAAATGTCATTAGCAACCTAGCAGACCTAATAGTTTGAGACAGGTTTGGGATTATTTTGAATCAAATATTTAAAAAAAACTTGTTACTGCTGCTAAATGCTACTTGACTACCCCACATTGACACATTAACTTCTGTCACAAACACATGCACAGGAAAGTCACTTGTTCTGGAAAAATAGGATCAGACATCTTTGTTCACAAGCCAAAGATTTAGATATGGTCTCTGCATGTATACCATCAAACCGAACTGAAATTTTACTGAGGCCATGATTGTTGAACTTTGTATGATGCTTAGGGATGCCATGATACATTGATAAATCGATAAATCGATACGTTTTCTAAGACGATACAATTATCAATACATTCAAAACTGTATCAATATTTAGTTTTGAAAGTATCGGTTTAAATATATTTATGCATCGTTTACATTTTGCAATTGTATATGTTTTTTATGTTATTAGAGATATAAATGATTATTTTTCATGCACAAAGATGGGAAATTGGAACTTTTTAATCTCTGAGAATAAAAAATGTTGATCTTTTCAAGGACAGTTATAAAATATGAAATATTAATGTTCAAAATGTAACTAAATTTACGCAGTAACGCCGCGAAAATAGGTATTGTGATACATATCGAATCGTGACATGGGTATGGTTATACGTATCGATTCATGAAACTTATGTATCGTGACATCCCTAATGATGCTCTATGAAATCTGAGAGAGTGCGTGTTCGATTGTACCTCAGCTCGATTGTAGCTGCGGCAATATTGCTGGACAGAACAACACAGAAACGGACCTTCTCAAAATGTAGGAGCACTTGCATCATGAAAAAAGAAGCTGATTACCTTTCAACTGATTAACAAGCACACACACACACCAAGCCCTAATATGATTTTAGTTTTACATATTGTCTTCCAATACCTCTTGTGGTTGCCATGGAGAGTTCACGGATAACTGCAGTATTGAATGCCTCAATGTAGATGTCTTTCCTAAAATGAGAGGAGAAAAGTTGATTCATTCATGAAAACCACCATGTATGTCTACATTCACATACATGAGGTTAGATTGTATTTGAGTGTCGGTGTGACACAATTCTGTGTGGAAGGATGGATCAGTCTAAGTAAACTTAGGCTCAGTATTATTCGTTACACTGCTATACTGAGTCAAACAAAACCAGTAGAAGGTCGCGTCAGGTAACCTTTTCAATTGACCAATCAGAACACAGCTTACCAAATCGCGAAAGTTGACATTCGCACATACCTTTTGAACTTTTACCTCGAAATAGTTTGTACAATTGCTTCCGAGCGATGCACGTGGAGCACGCCACAAGAGTGAGTAAACAGTCGCTGAGAATAGCGTTTTGTCAGTATTCATGGATGTCAGCTTGCGGGAATATTAACCAGGGGTGGATACAGCTTTTTGAGAAAGGAGGGGTGCACACTTCATTTTCACCCCAGTTTCAATGGTCATTTAACAAACTTTCAGCACAAAAGGGGGGTTGCACACCCCTGCACCCCCCGTCTGGATCCGCCTATGTTAGCTAATGATAACCATGTCGACAGAAACCTCAAAGCGTATATTCTGCAGGTCATATATCTGTGCTTATGCGGGTTAGCTAACGCAACCTTCCATAAGGTTTTGTTAGACTCAGTATAGCAGTGTAACGAATAATACTGAGCCTAAGTTTACTTAGACTGTAGGAATGATGGTCCCCAATTATTAAAGCTTACCATACTCTTTGCGTTAATAAGGACTGTCCCCAGTTCAACAAGCTTACCATATTCCTTGTGTTGGAAAGGACAGTCCCCAGTTGCTAAAACTTACCATACTCCTTGTGTTTGAAAGGGAGGTCCTCCATTCCTAAAACTTACCATACTCCTTGTGTTTGAAAGGGAGGTCCTCCATTCCTAAAACTTACCATATTCCTTGCGTTTGAAAGGGAGGTCCTCCATTCCTAAAACTTACCATATTCCTTGCGTTTGAAAGGGAGGTCCTCCATTCCTAAAACTTACCATACTCCTTGTGTTTGAAAGGGAGGTCCTCCATTCCTAAAACTTACCATACTCCTTGTGTTTGAAAGGTCCTCCATTCCTAAAACTTACCATACTCCTTGTGTTTGAAAGGGAGGTCCTCCATTCCTAAAACTTACCATACTCCTTGTGTTTGAAAGGGAGGTCCTCCATTCCTAAAACTTACCATACTCCTTGCGTTTGAAAGGGAGGTCCTCCATTCCTAAAACATACCATACTCCTTGTGTTGGGAAGGACAGTCCCCCAGTTCCTGAAGCTTACCATATTCCTTGTGACGTGAAGGACACTTCTCCCCTTAAAACCTTTTATATTCCTTCTGTTGGGAAGGAAATTCCCAATTGCCAACGCTTACCATATTCCTTGTGTTGGGAAGGAAGGTCCCCAGTCCCAGCTAAAGGAACACTGCTCCTTCCTGATCATGTTAACATGACACTCTCCGTTCTGTGCCTTGTTTGGACAATCATTGGGGATGTCATAGGCAGAAGCATTGGCCTTCTGAGCAGCAACTTTTACAGCAGACTCAAAGTCAATGCTGATTGTGTTGTCCCCCACCTGGAGAAGAGTTGATTGTTTTACCCCTGCATTCTTTATAAGTATTTGCTGATGACTTTTAGCACAAGTGAACTTCATTATAAGTGAAATACAAAACCCTTGCATACATATACCTAAATGTTGGCAATTTTAAAATCCAAGATGGCCACCAAAATGGCAGACAAGAACGTGGATGTCTTTGACAGGTACAGATATGTCAAGATCACCAGTTTGAAAAGGTACGCTGACAAGTGAGGAAGTACAATTTGTAAGGGGTGAACATTTATTACCTTGGCAGCAGTTTTGATGTCGTAGACATACTGGACAAACATGTTCTCGGATGTCCCGACTTTCTGGTCGTTGATGTAGACGGTTGAGAAGGTGTCCAGGCCGTCACAGACAAGGCGGAGGGAAGAAGTAGCCAGTTCATCTGCACTCACTACAAATTAAAGCATCAGATGTAGTAATAACTTCATACAATACGTGGGATGTAGCAAGAACTCAGAACATTACTATTTTGGATCTAATAATGGCCTCACTACAAAAAACTAGGTATTCTAATGACCTCACAATAACACATTAAATCCAGTAATGACTTCAGTGCAATATATTTAATTTAGTGATAGCTTCTGTACATTATGTTATATGTAGTAACAGCCTGAATGTATCATAAGTAGTGATGAGATGTCGGAATAAACTTACAACTCTAGAAATGAAAAAGTATACTTCTTTGAACGAAATATCTGCTAGATTTTATGTTATTGGCAAATGTTTTTAAATGTAATTAATTATTCAATTTTTAAGTAGTAAACTTTGTATAATGTACCTTTGTACATTAACATCTTTATTTCTCATAACATATCACCTTATCTCCTTAACATCAGATCAAGTTCACATCTCAGCTAACAAATATCTCAGGACATCACACCACATCAAATGACCTTCAGTAAACATTGCCAGACCAATGAGGTGACTCAGAAGAAGCTGACATCAGTGATTCAGAAAGCAGCTTTCTCGGTCTTTCCATTACAGAACACCCTCAGAAAAATACTGATTCACAATTTGAAAACTGAACTAATCTAAATTCTGTAAATTCTAATTATAAATGTTTGCTCTATTGAAGCAAGAGATAGTGGGTGATCTTGACAGAATCAGCTGCCCAGACCATAACTGTCGTAAAGAATATCCTGTTTTAACCTTTTCATGGTTGCATGATTGGAAAAAACTTTCAAGCTGTCACTTTCCCAATATAGTAAGCATCACCGTGATTGGTGTCATGAAAGTTTGTTCTGACCTGACCCATAACGGGAAGTCTCTAGATCTTTGTTTAGCAGTACCAAGAACAAGGATCTCATTTTAATGTCATAGCATTACTGATTACTGTTGAACATTGGAACATTGTTGGTTTCATTGAAGGTCTTCATCAGCATTATTTGCACTTACAGTAGATTATATGGTCTCAATTACTTGTATAAACAGGTAATTAAGTGGCTCTTGTTTAGCTGTGTTCTTACACTGAAAGATGCGTGTGTACGTCCAGTCTTCCCGTCCAATCCATTGTAGCTTGACATCATTGTCTCGGTAGAGAGGATCCGGAATCAGCTTGTTGTTGTACAGAGCTGTGTACATGGTGCCTGGGACACTGGCCCGGAATCCTCTCACCTGGAACAAGCACAACACAGGTGAGGTACATCAGCTTCTAACTGCCAGGCCAGTAGCTCACTTAAATGTGCTTGAATATTTTCAGCACTACAGATGGGGATATAGGGTTGGGTGATAAGTACAGACAGGGTTTGCTAAAGCACAAGGGCAATACCCCACCAAAGTACTGAGGATGATTAACTGAGGTTAAAACTTTTGCTGTTAAGTTAAGATTTGGTGAGTGCATTAAGCTACTTTCAATTGTATTTCACTGACACTAGTCTGCCTTATAATGTGCCAAAATCCTAATCAGAGGCAAATTGTAGACAATTATTTCTGTGACAAATTTAATATACATGGGTTGGTTTAAAAAAAAAAGAATTCTTATCATAAACTTAAATTTCATTTTCAGCTCCCTGGGAAGTATAGAAGTCAAAGGGGCAGTGAGGTAGCCTAGTGGTTAAAGTGTTCGCTTGTCACTCCAAAGACCTGGGTTTGATTTCCCTCATGGGAATAATGTGTGAAACCCATTTCTGGTGTCTTCTGCCATGATATTGCCAAAAACTGCAAAAAGACTGACTCACTCAGTAATAGAATTCATCCTACTGGGTACCCATTCACTGCTGAATGAGTAGATACAACATGGACAAGGAGACACCATGTGCTTGAGTGTGGGGCAGACATGTCCCTGATTTGCTATTTCAACTAGCAGTGATTTATCTAGGAATCAAAAGTCTTGAATCAAAATTGAAAAAAAACAACAACATTATTTTCCTTATGCTCATATTTTCATGCAGCAAGAGGAATTGTAACTTTGTACTTTGTAACTGCATTCAACGCTTTAAAGTTAAACTCAATAAAATATTCCTCTTCCGATTGTTTGGTCCTTTGAACAATGAAATACAAAGGACCTTAACCAAACCATAATCATGCATTGACGAACACTTATTTCCAGTTTGGGAATTTTGACTGACATTTGGTGCAGGTATTAGGCCAGATAATGGCCTCTGAACAGAGCTGGATAAATCTGAATAGATATGCTGTTTCTTATCAGAGGCATGACAACTCTGTGAACTGTCAGCTGACGTATACGCGAAACAGATTCATAATAACTGAGTGGACCAGACAAATATATGGTTGATATCTGGAACTGTCCACTGCTCTCTGCGGGAATCTTCACGACAGACTAAGGGTTAAACATTAACCTTTGAGTAGGTCTAGATAAACCATTGAACCCTACCACTTCGTTCAGTTACACGGACAAGATAAGCTGACAAAACTGTCTTTACAGAACACTGACAAGGCATTAAAGAGGGGTTCTGGAATGTAATATTTTAAGCGAGAATGAGTGAGTGAGTTTAGTTTTACGCCGCACTCAGCAATATTCCAGCTGTAAATATTCGAGTCTGGACCAGAAAATCCAGTGATCAACAGCATGAGCATCGATCTGCACAATTGGGAACCGATGACATGTGTCAACCAAGTCAGCGAGCCTGATCACCTGATCCCTGTTAGTTGCCTCTTGCGACAAGCATGGGTTACTGAAGTTCAGTGTTCTAACCCGGACCTTCACGGATCTAATCGAGAATGATAAATACCCATAACATAAATTAAACTGGTACTTTGAAATTTTCCAGCTAGCCACTGCCATGTAGACATTAAATCAACATCTGTGACAGTTACATAGCATCCTGTCTGACACGTTGATAAGTTTACAAAGTCAGGTAATAAGCACTCCTATGATGACTGCAGACTTTGTTGCTGAAATGCATGATTTGTCTTCAAAATACAATCCGAATTGATGACCGATGATATTGCTATATGTTTGTGTTTCAGGTGAAAGGATAACTTTTTATCAGTTTTTCATAATTGTCTTAATTGCATGTCCAAATGGTCAAAGGGATGAAAGAAGATGATTGTGTGAATTTGAGCTACAACAAAAATACATTTGATAATGTTCTTAGAAAAATATTTCATAATCTGGCAATCCCTACAATTACGTCACTTGACTGTACAAAACACAAGATGTACTTTCCGTACATGAACTAAACTCAGACTTTTATCAAAATTACTAGATTAGGGAACGATCGCGGCTCCTGTAAACACCTGTTGAAAGATTACGTACAGTGCTTGAGCCTATCTGTTTTCCTTCTCACTCTCAGTTGCTTCTTAGCTCAGCCAGCTAAAGTTTAGCTGGCTGAACTAAGTGTTTTCTCTGATAGGCGTTTCGTGTGAAATGAAAACATTGGAAAACACATAATTCGCCTGTGCTTTGAGTATGACAAGTTCTTAAATCACCGAGGGGCACTCACCTCTAACATTGTTAAGAAGAGTCCAATTTCCAGAAAGATGCACAACATCAGCGTATGAAACAGACACAAGTGCAGCAGCTATCAGCGCACAGCTGAAACCTCCCGCCATGTTGTTGTCATGTGACATCCAACCACTACAGACTCAGTTTTACAAATCACATGACTTCCATATGGAGACTTCACACGAACACGTCCTCTATTAATAGAACAACAATTTCTCTAACTATGCGACCGTCAAAGATAAGGAACGGTGGTGGAAAAAACTGTACCAGTGCTTGAGAAATATACATTCTGTCTTTACAAAGTTTGAATGTGAGCAAACTTTCTTTCAGAAAGTCTTCTGACATTAATAATATTTTAGTTAGTGCTTGTCTAACAAATCTCTCCATATGCAGGGTCGTAGCTACCATTATTAAAAAATAGCCCGGGCTTACACATGATTGTTGCTAAAAACGTTGGGCAAACCCACAATACTATCTAAATATATTTTTTAAGCTTTCCAACCTATCGGGCTTACACGAAAAAACAGGCTTGCTACGTGCCTTATATGAATCGATATAATTCAAAAAGGAAATTAGTTACGTGTGATATCTGTACTGTTTTGGCTATGAAACTACTTGACAAACACATTCAATGCTGAAAGATTAATTTTCATGTAAACTTGACCTTTAGACAATGCATGGTAACCACAGCACTCATACCATTCATTCACCCAGAGACCATATAATAAATATATGGTCTCTGATTCACCTGATGAAGGAGTAGGTGAGGTGAGGTGAGGTGAAATTGGGTTTTATACGTCGTGCTTGATAATATTTCGCTCATATGACGACGTGCATGCGTGTGTATGTGTATGTGCGGCTGCTTGTACTAGCCCAGACTGAAGCTGGTTTTATAGTGTTAGCCCACTGAGATACCATGCCGCAGTGAAGCATGAATACCCCACTCAGACACATTATACTGACTCCGAGCCGACCAGTCCTTGTTGTACCCATTAATGCCGAGCGCCAGGCAGGGACCAACAAATTACCATATTTTAACGTCTTTTGGTATGACGCGGTCGGGGATCGAACCCGTGACCTTCCGCTCCGGGCGGACGTGATGAAAGGCGTAAGGATACATTCAGAAACCTCCTGTTCCTCACTAGGACTGCCCCACCGCGAAGCACGTGATACATGTGGTCTCACTTTAGGGAAGTGAGTTTGTTCAAAATTGATTCTGTTCACCCAGCAGAAATATGGGTACCCGGTGGGATAGGGCATGTGACTATAACCGTCTATCGCCTAACGGGCAGCTTGGGTTATCCGGGGTAATAATGTTGTGCTGTTTGTGCGCGCTTTGAGCATGCCTTTGTGGTGTGGAGTATTGCGCGGTATAAAGTACCCTCATTATTATATAACGTATGTTATATTAGGGATTACACTTTCTTAGTAAAATTACAGATTCTAGTACTTTTGGGGTTGAGTCCGATCCGGGATTCGAACCCACACACACCAGAGAGTCAGGCACCTAATCGCCAGCACACAAAGTCAGACGCCTAGACTGCTCAGTCTGACTTTGTGTGCTGGCGATCCCTCTCAAATGATTGGAATAATGAGTTCGAATCCAACAACCTAAAAAGTACTAGAATCTGTAGGGTTTACTAAGAAAGTGTAATCCCAAATATAACATACGTTACATTTGACCACTTTCTAAAATGGCATTGTGTATCTCATTATTATATGTTTTGAAACAAGATTATTATTTATTTGCTACCATATGTCTATTCAATGCAAGATTTAGAATTTTTTACAATGAAAACAATCACAATAAGAATTTAATAAAACAAAAACCCACTGGTGTCTCAACGGCGTTGGTACAGAAGAATGCGCAGCTTTAACCCCCATCCTTGAAATATTGCCAATATGCTTACCAAAGTCGATTATTCCATATAGTAAATGAAACAGGTCTTCTCCGAAGAAGGACGAAAGGACCACCTGCGTCGATGAAAGAATCACCTGCGTCGATGAAAGGATGCGGCTGCATTTAAGTACTAGCCATGATGTCAGACTGAAGCTGGTTTTATGAGTGTTAGCCCACTGATGATACCATGCCGCAGTGAAGCACTGAGATACCAATACCCCACTCAGACACATTATACTGACTCCGAGCCGACCAGTCCTTGTTGTACCCATTAATGCCGAGCGCCAGGCAGGGACCAACAAGTACCATATTTTAACGTCTTTTGGTATGACGCGGTCGGGGATCGAACCCGCGACCTTCCGCTCTCCGGGCAGACGCTCTAACCACTACACCACGGAGGCGGTTGATGAAAGTAGCTTTTAAGTACATGAAAGCATAACCTGGAAATCATTTACGTCGAGCAAAACATCACCTATGTATATTAAGGTATCTTCAGAATAGATGAAAGCATAATCTACGTGGAAATAATGTCCCATTTATGTCAATGAAACTATCCTCTACGCAGATTATAGTTTCCTCTAATTGATAATTGAATTAGAGGGTGGCACTAATAAGATTCCATACATGCAGAATAGATCCAGGATAGAATTGATCTTCAGTAACCCATGCTTGTCGTAGGAGGCGACTAACGGGATCGGGTGGTCAGGCTTGCTGACTTGGTTGACACATGTCATCGTATCCCAGCTGCAGAGATCGATGCTCATACAGTTGATCACTGGATTGTCTGTTACAGATTCGATTATTTACAGACCGCGGCCATATAGCTGGAATATTGCTGAGTGCTGTGCATGTGTAAACCTAAACTCACTCACTAACCCATACATGCAGGACACATGGGTCAATAATTATTTTTAAATTTTAATTATGAATTCCTCTTGTTGGTTACACCATACTCGGGGATGAGACAGACGTTTGCAAGAGACATAATGATTGGATAGAATACACAACATTTCACTGCCATGCTGGGTTTATTTTGCGAGTTTCCTTGTGTGCTTCTCAAAATCTATCGACAACGGGCCACTCGGTATATTTTAAGGGCGCTTAAATCGTTCAAGGCAGTTATTTCCCTTTGAACTCAGCCCGACTTGCCGAAATGACTTCCAGAAATATAATCTTGTGCTTTTCTCGGTAAGACTGAACGACAGAATATACTTGAGCTCGTTAAATACATCGATGAATCGGTTTCTGTTAAATCTAGCTAGGGCTTTTCTAACCGGTTGTGTAATCACAGAGAATGTCTAAAATTGTATTCGACAGCAAAATGTACATAAATCTCGATTCCAGAACAAGTGTGTTACGCCAGTTTATACCCCTGAAATGCATTTATTCTATGTGATTATGTGATTATCATTCATACTATGTATGCCCCTATAATCGATTTATTTATATACATTCATTAACAACAGATCTGCCATAATAATTTAGTACGCTCACGTATTAGAACGATACACATAATGAATATGAAGATCCGAGTGAACGTTGAACTTTGAGCCATGAGACAGAGTTATGTCCCTTGCCCCATTCACTCACTCTCTCTCACTGAAAAGAAATTTGTAAAATGACAAATCACATTGACAGAGTAACAAATTGCATAGTATGAATTAACACTGTATCATTAATTGTAAGGTTTATTACCTGAACACTGCTTTAGTATGATTAAGTAATATTGAAAGATACTAACTTAACAATAATTTGGACAGATTCTAAAATTATATTTGATTGTCTATTCATTGAATCCTAACTTTGGTAATAACATGATATTTAAAGAGGAACAAATTTTATGGATTGACAACTTCTTTATTGCAACAGATGCAACATTTCGGTGTTGATGCTAACATCATTGTCACTTGCTTGATAACAGTGAAGCACTAGACACTGAAATGTCGCATCTGTTTCAGTAAAGAAATTGCCAATAGATACTTTTTGTTCCTCTTCATTATACCAGCTTCTACATGGTACTTGAAGAAGAAGAAATGATTGTTACACCTACCCATTTGTTCTTGCAGGATTGCCCAGCAGATAGGCCACGGGGTGAAGCGTGAGTTCCCCTCTCCCCATCAGTGTGTTCTGTCACTGCCAGGTGGAATGTCCTACGAAGCATTTGATGGCAAAGGTAAATGAAGAATTTGACATGATCTTCAAGTATTCAACAGTCCATGTTTGGTATATGACTCTCACTGATGAAGAGAGGATGTGCCCATCTTCTTCACCGTGTCAAATGCATGTTTGAAAACTCTTTTTACACATATTTATTATATGTCAGCTATAAGTGTTCAGGAAAGTGTCATTAAAAATACACAATTTGGAATTACAGATTTCCAAATTCAAGTTTGAATTGATACTACCTTTAGCTACAGTGTAACCTGTTTAAACCGGCACCCCACGGGACCAAAATAAAATGCCGGTTTGGACAGCAGGGCTCCAGATAAGGGTCGTATTGGTGTATGTACGGATAAAAAATATCCACGATACGGTAGGAAATAATTTAAAAAGCGTAGCAGATACACACCACAGCAATGGTGTACGGTCTTAGAATCATTTACAGACGTTTTTATCTGAAAAAAAGTATTGTTTTATTGTATATTGACCTGTTTATACAAGAGTAGCAATGTTGTGGTGCATATATGAAACGAAACACAAGATTACTGATAAGCCATTAAATTCCAATCAGTACTCTCAATGTACTCTTACTGTTTTCCAGTACTCCAATATTGAAAAAAAAAAGGAGTGCGTACTCCTGATCATGAAATATTATCTGGAGCCCTGAGACAGGGTGCCGGATTAGACAGTGACGATCATTTTCCAACATGGCTGCCATTTACACTCATCAATCTCTCAATCTAGCGTGCCGGAGGAGTGTATTGGATTAAGGGACCTTGATTGGACTGCTCATACCCATGCCGACTTAGAGCGTTTGATTCATCACGCAATCACTACTTCCTGATTATCAAGTGTGCCAGGAGGATTAATTGGTGTGTTGGATTATGGGTCCTTGATTGGACTGCTCATACCCATGCCGGTTTAGAGTGTTAATAACAGTTATTTAAATTGCTTGTTGGGACCTGGAAAGTCGTGCCGGAATACGGAATGGACAGGTGCCGGATTAGACAATGTTTTAATGATCATAATATCATTGTAAAATGGCGGGACCAAAATTTTATGCCGGTTTTGACAGTGTGCCGGATGTTGGTGCAGGTTTCACCGTGAATTTTTGGTTTTGATGTCAGTGGTGTCAAGGTCACAGAGTATGGCCATAAGGGAGAGATGATGATTTTAAGGGGGTCAGCCATTTTGTTCTGGGGAGCTAGAGGGGTCAGCAATTTTGTACACACGCATTCAGGGGTTGTTGGGGAGGCTTGTCAGCAATTTTGTACATAAAAATATGTTTAAAAATATACTTAGAAATTATGGGAGGGGGTCACTGTTTTGTACATAAATTTTAGGGTAGGGGGTTGTCAGTCACATTGTACATGCTTTTCCATAAAAAGCATCATCACCCTGCCTAGCCATAAATTATGAACGGTCCCTAACAGCGATGGACACGCGTTTGGTTTAGTGTCACATTATTTGTTTGTCCGCATTACACAGACAAAAGGCACCATGTTTACAAATCAATTGAACACATTTCCAAACTGAAGACTTAGCTGGGGCTAAAGTTTGGAACTCGAGAAAAGGCCTGAAGCGGGCGGCCTTTTGGTTTGTTTATCCCTAGAACGAATGCCTGTACCAATCTAATTTTTATATTTATGTGGTTTAAAAGTCACGAAAATGCAATTATATGAACAATAAACATTCTCAAAACTATTGATGTATAATAATATAAATGTTAGTAGTTTTAACTACATCTCAAAATTACCGATCAGATGGGGTGAACCGATTCGCAACAGTCTACCGCAATATATCGTGATCGCGGAAGTTCGAATCCACCCCTACTGACCACTGAACTGCTTTGGTTTCCATGGAGGAGTGAGTGAGTATGGTTTTACGCTGCTTTTAGCAATATTTCAGCAATGCAGGACATCAAAAGTGGGCTTCACTCATTGCACCCATGTAGGGACTCGAACTCGGGTCTTCAGCATGACGAGTGAACGCTTTAACCACTCAGCTACCCCGATGCCCCTTTCCATGGAGGAACAGATTTCAAGTAAATCCCAATCATTTCACGGACACTGAACTCATCATGTTGAAAAGTGCGTACATGAGCTTAGTAGAGAATTCATTCATTTTGTCATTGAACTAAATCAAGTTAGATGTGGTGGCGTGTGGTCCTGTGCACAGAGCTCAGGTCACGAATCAGTTGAAGTTAAGCAACGTCGTGCTCGGACAGTGCTTGGATGGGTGACCGTGTTTGGCAGCTTGACTCTTGATCCTTTCTAGGATATCAGTTCTGCCCCATAACGAATTCGAAGCACATGTGATACATGTGGTCTCACCTTAGGCAAGTGAGTTTGTTCAAAATTGCCTCTGTTCACCCAGCAGAAAATGGGTACCCGGTTGGATAAAGTCATGTGACTAACAGGCAGCTTGGGTTATCCGGGGTAATAATAATCAGATTCTGATTAAGTGCCGCGAGCAATCACTTGGTGTTTGGAGACTGTGCGCTATAGAAGATGACTTATTTTTATTATTATTAGATGAAAAAAATCTTTATTGTTTTTCCTCGTGAATCTCACCCATTAGAATAGATATGGTCAGCGACTCAAGTTTGTTGAAGAGACAACCAAATATATTTGATCAAACTGAGTGACTTAGTTCATAGCATGCCATGATTACATTTCTTGTTGGTCATGAAGTCAGTCACAGGATTGTCTGGCCCAGGCTCGGTTATTTACAGACCAAGAGTTTGTACAGATTATAAGTCTTCACATTCTGGCCTTTTTAGAGCCTTTTAAGGCCCAATAATTTTATGACGGTATGGAAACATATATCAGTTGAATAAACATGAAGTTGATCGCATCTGGGACCGAACATCAAGGGGAAATAACTACATCACTCTACTGGGAAAGTTTTGCTTCACGATAGATTTCCAAGGTATTTTTGTATGAATTAGGTTCCTGCAAAATCTTGACAAGTTGTGCTAAATTTAAGGTCTTCTTCGGGTGAAATGTTTAAATTTCAGGCTTATCAAGCCCGTGTGAGCCCTGAGATCACTGTCATATCGCTGGAATATTTTGAGGTGGTGTTCAACAACAAAAAAAACATTCAGATTGTATACGCTCAGAACAAATTAAAGAACACAACTGGAAAGATGTGTGCAGTAATACCCAGCCAGAACCAGGACTACTGCCATTAGAAAATCTTACAGCCATTAAAAATTCTATAACCTCTTTTAATCTGAATATTTTGACATGTTGATGTTGCAGCCCATGTGAAGCCGTGGCATGTGATGAACCTTGTGGAATCTGGACGAGCAATGAGTTTCAACCCCATACCTCACGACGACCGTTCCTACCTTGACTTCAACACTCTCTATGAACAGTACTTGGCATTCATAGCATCTGCAAGACTAGAGATCCATCCAGAGATGTACAGTTATTCGGTGGCAAAGAGTCCCCTCCAGTTGAGTAAGGAACTCCTCTACTATGGTAATTCTTCAACAAACCTAGAAACTAAAGTTACTGAATGTAAAACTGGTCTCCTTCTTGCAAGCTGTCAGCAACAAACAGTTTCAGTTTCCAAGGAAACCCGCCGTCCTGCAGCTCTTCCTGATTGGTGGAAGGAAAAGTATTCCAAGATCAATTTAACAGGTAGTGCACTTCGTGTAGAATCAGCTCAACGTCCCAGCCAATCAGAGGTCAGCTCATATTCACTGACAGTACAAACAAGTGATACGGATACGTATTTCCATGTGAACTGGACTGGTTATTTGAAGTTTTGCCTGGAGGCTTTTGCAGGGTTTAAACATGAAACAGACATATCCGCCAATGTGCTGGAACTGTATCGACCTTTGAAGGTCGCTGAGTTGGGTTATGTGAAGGAATGCAGTCTCGGGGACCTACTGAGGGTGGACTTCTGGTCAGAGCAGACGTCAAATGATAAGGTTAATTTCGAAATCAGAAACACTGCGGATGAGGTAGTATTGTATTGCTCAGTCGAATTTTATCAAGATCTCAATTTGGATTCCAGGTCTTAGCTCCGTACAAAGCATTGATCGTTCCATCAATAAATTAAACAAGCTGCAGCAGTTGACTATGTGTAGCTTACTATTAATGTTTAATGACTGGGCATTAATGACTTTTATTCAACCATTGATTGTTCTGTTAAAATGCTTGCACAGTGGCAACAAACTACCTCACTGAATCCCATATTCTGCAGTCACAGAACAGGTGCATTTACAGAAAACAGTCATTTTTTATCACTAGTTTCTAATTTTTGTAAGACCATATATCCATTAGAGGCCCAGTGTCAGATGTCTTCCATTTTAAAATATACATTTGTTATGGTATTAACGTCTGATGTTATATTGTTTTAGACTTTGGATCTAAGTGAGATTATGATAATGAAACATGTTTGTAGATGCATGTATTTATCTGATTCTAAACTGTCCACATTATGAATCTGAATATTAAGTCTCACATGTCATAAAACAATAAACAGATCCCATCAATTGTTTTCTTCTTCAGTTTAACTTACTGAAATAGAGCCAATTTGTCTGTTGCATCGTATCACCACTCTCATTCAGAGCTTCTGATAGTGTCCAGAGACAAGTTACTGAAGCAAAGTTGAAGGCATCTACCCATGGCATGCCACTTGCCTAGATCAAAGTCAAGTAACACAGATTTGACTTAGGATTTGACATATATTTATGGACTCTCTTGGATGGTTGTTGATTAACAGCAGTATTCCAGCTATATGGCGGCAGCCTGTATATTACTGAGTTTGGACCAAACGATCTAGTGGTCGACATCGTGAGCATCAAACTATGCAATTGGATACGATGACATATGTCAACCAAGTCAGTTAGCCTGACCTCCTGATCCCTATAGCCGCCTGGTACGACAAGCATGGGTTGCTGAAGACCATTTCTAACTCGGTTCTTCATGGGTCTTGACTCTCTTTGGTTGAAGGTTGGTACCTGCTTTAACACAGGAAAGACAAGAGTGCCACAACACAGCTTCCCTGGATGTCAAAAGTCTTAATGTCAGCCCAGACAGCTTCTTAGTTCATGTTTTCAGTATTCAAAACAATGTCCGTTTAGAAACTAAGGACAACTAATGACAGGAAATCAGTCATTGATATTGAAAATATGTGCAAAATACCCCACGTCTTGTCTCATAATTAGTGATTTAACCCCAAAAGAAAAAGCAGGCCAGTTCACCTAACATTTAGACCGATTAAGGGTGTGTGTGAGGTGAGGTGAAATTGGATTTAACGTCGTGCTTGAGAATATTTCGCTCATATGACGACGTGCATGCGTGTGTATGTGCGGCTGCTTGTACTAGCCCAGACTTAAGCTGGTTTTATAGTGCTATAGTGAAGCATGAATACCCCTCTCAGACACGCCAGGCAGGGACCAACAAGTACCATATTTTAACGTCTTTTGGTATGACGCGGTCGGGGATTGAACCCGCAACATTCCGCTCTCCGGGTGGACGCTCTAACCACTACACCACGGAGGCGGTGCTGTCAGGGTGTGGTTTCTACCTTGAGGGGTGGCTTGGTTGATGAATAGGCGTGATATGATGGATGATCCAGTGAGGCGGAGATATGAGAAGTCCCCCGATGACATGGGTGTGATGTGATTTGTATCACGATACAGTACTTTTATTTCATAAGTTCACATGTTATATACTTCTTGCAGGTGGACCGCAACTATGAATCATTTGTTTTATAATTTCATGGTGTATCATAGTGTAAAAACAAGCTTTGGGTCACCTTCAGATTCTGCATTTTGCTAGTTAGAAAATATGTGTACTGAGGAATCTACATCTCTTGAACAGAATATTTTTAATGTGTTTGCATCAATATATCCTATGTGATGAAATAGTTTGTATAATAATTCAGGTGTATCAGAAGCCTCATATCTTGATACTATACTGTACTGTTGTATCTTTAAACCACTAAAAAATATGTATGAATAGTGCCAGTTTTCACATAATGTATATATGATGTTTCATCCAGAAACTCATGCCAACTTGATACTGCCCCAGAAAGCAGAACAGCAACAGGTCAGCCTGGAGGATATACAATCTGCTACACTACAACATGAACACTCCCTTCATGTTTTCATATAAATCATTAAATTTGTGTGTAAGGCTGAGAGTGATGTGTCAAGTAAAGGAAAACATACAAGTGATGCTTGAAACTGTATTTCCACAATGTTTCTAAATCAACAAGAATGGAATATTGACTATTTTTAATGTACAAAAGTTTCACCATATCTCTCAAGAACAAGTTCCCCAGGACACCAAGTATTCTTCTTGTCAGATCATGACAAACTAGGTGCACAACTTTATTCAGGTGATGCAGAGATGTCAATCCTAATTTAGCCCAATAAGTATTTTGGCCAAAATTAGTATTAACTTTTCCAAAGGGTTTTCATATTAAATAAAACATATATAGATATTCTAAGAGCTTGTTATTAACAGTGTACTCATCCAAACAGTATAAGTATCCACATACAGCTTGATACTGAATAAAATGTGGTTGAAATTTATTGTGTATGGTACATATGCTATTTGATGATTTAATTTAATTAAAAAATACGAATACGATAAAACGTATATGGGTTGGCATCTCTGGGTGATGTGACAGATTATTGTATACCTGCTTGACAACGATATAAGAATCTGTATCAAAACGTACCATTAACTGAATAAAGAAGTTGTTCCTTCATAAACTTGGTCCTTATCTAAGTATTGCAATTATTTTTAAAAAATGCAATACAATCTATGTGGTTGTGAGCAGAACCAGCCTGGGTGTATGGTCAACAGCCTATAACAGGTGACCAGGCTTTGACAAAATAGGAACCAGCTCCAGGTTCAGAACAAGGTGAATTCAATAAAAAGTCAAACAAAATAATAAATTTAGGATTTCTTTATTCATAACCTATTGGTAAATCTAAGGCTACGAACAAATGCTATCACAAATGCAACATTAGTCAACCTGAACCAGACATCAACAATAATTACTGTACTAAGAGCACCCAGGCAAACTGAAACGGTTAGGCATATTAAAACCACTCCAGAAGTAGTTTCAGTTTAACTAACTATAATTTCTGTAACAGTTACTTGGCACCCTTTTAGTGCTGCTGTTTTCTCTATTTGCCTCCAAAATGGACCGACAAATTTTTCAGGTGCTAATAAAGATTTCTCACAGATTACTTTAAGCCAAGCCATTAATATGGCGAATATAGTATGTTGAACCCTTGCTACAGCAACCATATTGTCACTATCCATTTTTCAAATAGTGTTTCCATAACGGTTGAAGGTAGAGGTCTCCAGTTTTCAGTTATTAAATACTACTTACTATTACAGCTAAATAGGATTTAAAGTAATAAATAGCCATGTACATAGGTGGTTAACTACTATAACTCAGTATATAAACAGTAGTCTTAAAAATATTTAAATATAAAATATTTAGCGGAAATAATTTCCTTTTTATGAAGGGAAATGCTAAAAAATATACATACTTTTTTGAAAAGACAAATTCATATCACATTCATTGAGGTAGAATACCTATTTATGTACACATCAAATAATGTACATCTTACATACAAAAACATTTGAAACATAAAATGCTGAAAATGAGGCAAAATTTCATCATATGAGATACTCTCTCTGTATAAACTAATTAAACTGAACCTTGCATTACATGTGTTGCGGTGACAATTTAGTCTCAAATTATAAATAATAACATCACATTCCATTCTTGATATTAGAGACACAGGTGATGTCAGTACTTATTTGTTTTGTTATAATGAAATAATCATTTTGTTTACGTACCTAAAGAAATGTACTGTATTTTACAATGTTGTTTAACTGTACATGTTCTATGGAACCAAAAAGGTATATCAACCTACAATTTCCAATAAGGCGGGATTTTGTCGGAGATTTTTTTTCTCTCAAGGTACAATTATTTACTATTAAGGTTCTGTTTTTGCCGATCAAATTATTTTCTATTTTAAAATCCAAGGCTCCCCACCCATCGGGTCGGTCTTAACTAAAGTACCTATCCATTGTCAACTAAAACCTTTTTTTTATATCCAGCATAAGACATTAAAACTGTATTTTACAAGGAAAGGTAAAATGCTAAATTTGATTTTTTTTTACCAACATTAATGCATATATAATCTTTTTTGTTTGCTATTTTGGTAATACAAATTAAAATACAACATACCTTTTTTTGGCACATAAGTTAATGACATGATTAATAAAACCATAATACACTGGGACTATTTGTTTTACCGGGTTTCCCTAATATAGATGAGACTAGAAGACACTTTATTCATACGTTATTTACAGTAACTGCACCACAATACTGTTTATCTATCAACTTGGACCGGATGTGGAAACATGATGCTTGAACCTTAGTTGTCCGATATACATGTAAAGTCACACTAATGTAAAGCCTTCATCAATCAGATAGTCCATCTTGACTGTTTATACTGTAATGTCGAAAGTCTTGAGACGTCAAACATTTCAACTCTGGATAATGTGAACTTCCGTTTGGCTGAACTGTTTTATCTCCTTTTGGCTTGGGGTTATCTCCCTTTGGATCCTCTTCTGACACACTGCTGTTCATGGAAGAAGTTCCGCTGGTATCAACATCACTGGCTTCTATTGATACAAAACTCTCTGTGGACAAAACACTGTCTGAGAGACCACTGTCATGTGACGTGTTGGGGATGCTGATTGAGAGATGTGATTGTGATTGACGAGCAGCTCTGAAATAAATTTAAAAAAATTAAAAAGGGTCTGTGTGTGATTATTCAAGTCATTCGAAAGCAAGAAACTATGGTTCTGACAAACAACAAACTGGAGCCCATCCATGGTTTCTGGTGTGCCAAGACCCGTGGAGGTCCGGGTTAGAATATTGATCTTCAGTAACCCATGCTTGACGTAAGAGGCGACTAACAGGATTGGGTGCTCAGATTCGCTGACTTGGTTGACACATGGTTCCCAATTACTCAGATTGATGCTCATGCTGTTGATCACTGGATTGTCTGGTCCAGACTCGATTATTTACAGACCGCCGGCATATAGCTGGAATATTGTTGAGTGCTGGCGTAAAACTAAACTCACACAATGGTGGGCCAAAGGGAAGCAAACTCTGCCCTGCAAATGTGCAGCACCTGAGAGATAATGTACACAAAAAAACCTCAGTGCTAAGTCATAAGTTGTGAGTTAGCACTTAGTTATAGGGACACCTGCACCCTAAACATTTGGCAACCTACCACGAGAATTTCAAGTGATACTTATATTGTGTCTCACCAGTGGGGATGAGCTTGAGAGTGTGCGTATTGCTTAAAACTGCTTTTGAAGTTACCAATGGAGGGGACACAAGAAAGAGCTTCACATGTGGGAAATCAAACCAGGGCCTTCAGCAAGTTGAACACTGAATAAAATATTTACGATCCATTTGTTTGCCAAAGTTGGCTAAGAACTACCAGGACAGGGCCATTTTGTCCTGTATGTTCAAGACTGGTTCTCACCTGTCTACCTTCTTCCTGCCCCCTGCCTTCCACACACTCTGAATGTATTCCTCTGTCAACTTCCCTGAGATGAAGTCACTGATTTCACTTCCTGTCAAGTCTGTCTGGAGGAACAGGTGCAGCACTGAGTCCGACAGGTACAACTTCTCAGCAATCACACTGAAAATGGAGAAGCATTATATACTTTCATCACAGAATGGGGGTATTGAGGTAATATTAGTTTGTGTGAATATTATATGCATCCAAAAAGGATAACTTTATATACAGGGAAAATACTCCTTCGGCTACATATTACTAGATATGTCTCCTTGGCAAAGGTTTACTCCCATAACACAGACCTCCCAAAACGCAGATAAAAATAGCACACTAATTAATTGGGCCATGCTGGTCACCCCTAATTAATGGCCTGATCCACTCACCTACCATAAGGGATTACCGCTTTGTTAAGTCACTAAGTTGTAGTGGACAACGACAACATTGTCTTAAAACTGCTCCATCTGCTATATGTTGAGTAGAAGCTTGTTCAGCCAGAAGTGTGAATGAGTGAGTGAGTTTTACACCACTTTCAGCAATATTCCAGCAACATCATGGTGGGAACACTAGAAATGGGCTTCCCACTTTGTACCCATGTGGGGAATTGAACCAAGGTCTTCGATGTAATGAGCGAATGCTTTAACCACTAGGTCCTGTGCTTGAAGTGATGGCTACCTGATAGGCTGAGAAGGAATATCAAGTGCACAGTAATCAGTTCACCTGGGTTAGATGTCTAGCCTCACAACATTCATTTTGTTCATGACTTGATACATACCTGTTGAGGAACTTTTCAAGGCCTTCTCGTCTCTTCTGGATAAATTCATCATCAAATCTCTGCATGAAAAACTTCTTTGGTGGAAGATCTGGGGGAGTCCTGCACATTAAAGCAATTCAAATAAACTAAAAGAATATACCTACACTGTTTGGGAAATTTAAAAAAAAATAATAAAAGGGAGAGCTCAATGATTGATCAACAACAGATTGTGACCATAAACCCTACCACAAAACTCATGTGGAAACACAGTGCAAGCAGACACTGATTAATACTACAATCAGGACGATCAAAGAAACTTCCTGTTGAGACACGCACACAATACGTTCCTTATATCAGTAGTTCACGTCTGGATTTAAGAAACATAAAAGATAAGAAACAAACAAATTTAAAGTTTGATTTGATATTTCTTTTTATTAAGTATTGATTAGTCTCCTGGAACCACCGATTATAAGATCACTCTATTGTTTGACACTTTGTGTACTAACCTGCAAGGGTGGTGAAACTTCAGCTGTTTCCTGAGCCACACAAACTCGGGAGAATCTGCGTCTCACAGTAGTATTGGGTAGACTGAAGGCCTGGTTGGCAGTCTGCAATCATGACACTTACAGGCTACACTCAAGACATCAAGTCCCACACAAGGGATTTGGCATGCTCTTCTCACAGAGGTTACTTAAAATATCTTCCTACGAACCTGTTCTCATACAGCCATATTTCCTGGTTCTCGTATAAACCCCTAGCGGCACAAAATCGCAACACAAACTATCTCTCTTCTTTCTATCCAATCAGAACACATGTTACAAGAGGTTCTAGTTTTCTAGCCTTGCGAATGATCACTTTTGAAACAACGTCGCTGATTGCACAACTAAATCTGATTGCAACCAATCATGAATCCTGAACACTCGCACCATGAAAGGGTCGTATTAGAACAGAGGTTCGTAGGAAGATATGACAAGTAACCTCTGTGGGAAGAGAATGGGGATTTGGTATAATTATGGAATAGTGTTTATAATTGGAATAGTAAAAATACTTTAACACACATAAAAATATCTGACCTGACAAAATTTACAAGAGATACAAAAAAAGAAAATAATAACACTGCTTTGCATTATGCTGGTATTCACACAATGCATATTGTGTGGGGTGGGGTGGGGTGTTGTTTCCAGTACAATGGGTAAAAAAGGATATATAATATAGGTTTAATTGCTATTTGTATTGTTAAACTAAACCTAATGTTTCCTCTTTAACAATAGTTTATCAGTATGAAGAAATTATCTCAGTCCTGATAATAACCAATCAAGGAATAACAATCAATTAAACCAGGGATGGTAAAACATTGCCAGTCTGAGGTTTACCTTTATAGTGATGTCGTATGTGGTGTACCGTCCCTCGTCCCATGTGTGGTGTGTCGCAGGGTTCACCACACTGACATGTGGCAAGGGACACTGTAACATAAAAATAAAAAATTGAATAACACATCAGCTTGATATTAATATTAGGGGTGAAACAGTATACCATGGTATTTTGCCTTCGTTTCGGTCCATTTCAGTTCTCTATGATGAATGTTATTTTGATTTCCGCACCATCATTTCTATCTAGTCATAAAATGACAGTTTGTTCATTCAAAATGACATTCAAGATTCATATAGAGAACTGAAATGGACCGAAACGAAGGCCTTGTACCACAATACGGACCATACCATGGTAAGAGGACCGTTTCAACCTTAATTAATATTCTGCAATTTGAATCCTGTCCTTGGTGCACATGTCGTGGTGTACATACTTGTTTATTTTTCATAAAGCACCTGCAGCAACATTGTGTCGCAAACCTCCTGTTTCGATGATCAATGCAATGTGTTTTTTATCATGATATTAATCAATTTCAACTATTATTGCAAGATTTAGTCATGTTCACAAGGCTGTTGCTATAAAACTTACGGCTGATCTGATACATGATTAATGCGTATTGATGGGTGAGTTTTACACTGTTTTTTTATCAACATTACAGCAGGGTACACTAGAAATGGGCTTCACACAGTGTACCTATGTGGGGAATCAACCCAGGTCTTTGGTGTGACAAAACTCCACACCACACCACCCCACATGATTAATGGAACTAGATTAAACAAGGTTTCAGTGGCCAACTTACAGCATAACGGGACACATATTTACGGACATGATTCCACCTTTCAAAAATTACAAAAACCAGTAACAGTGAACCAGTATAAGCGGTCCAGTTGAGTGAGGTTGTATATTACACCAGTGTACCAATATCATGCAGGGGTCACGAGATAATGGGCTTCACACTTTGTACCCATGTCAAGAACAGATCATCGTAACAACCAAAATGTCTGAATCTCAAGGTAGTTTATAACCAAAACCCTTGTACACGACATACCTTCTCAGCCATGATAATGGATGTATGAAGAATAGAATCACTCAAGGTGTTGATATCAACCAGTGGGAAACACAATACACATCAAATAGGAAGGTAAGCTCTACACTGTGCCGTTTAGCCTAATCTGCAGTAACAGTTTAAATGTCATTTCCTGTTTTAAATTTGGCTTGACATATTGTAACTAATGAACAGTATTCATGGGTTACTGGATGGGGAAATATTTTATAGATATTTAAAAAATCACAAAATGAAGGAGTTCATCCTTCCCTACAGGGGTGGAAATAACTTTAAAATTGCTAGTGTACGCCGTTTTCTTGTTGATTCTTTAAATAAACAACATAATTAACATTGGAAAGTCAACTGGACACGGTACAGTGTGATATACAAATTTGCTTGCCCGACAAAAAAAACCTGGACTCGGGCGTAGGGCAATGGGTTATTTCCACCCCTGCAGAGATCTGACCTGTGACAGGTGTTGAAAGAGAAATGAGGAAATTGGGAATCTGAATGTTGTGCTCTCTACTATGACACATGACAGACGTTGTTTCACCCGGACATTGTAACTGACATTCACGGACATACACAGGGCAAGTGTATCTACCTAAGAAAAATACAGCTATTTCCTCGTATTACATACCTTGCTAAAATCTATCATGATGAAAGTATGGTATCCAAAGGTATGTCCACTAAAGATAGCACGCCCTGTACTGGTGACAGCTACTGGGGAATGATGCTGACAGTCATGCTCTATAGCTGCTAGTCATTTGATCAGTCACATGTGGCCTCAGGTGGGATCAATTGCCCAATATACAGATTCTACATTAGAGTCACATGGCTTGGTGTTGATAACTGCCATAAAGCCCAGGATATAATAAATATATGACCACAGGTTTAAGACACCATAGCTATCCCTATATGACTTTGTGTTGATAACTGCTGTATTGTCCAGTAAATACTGAATATATGAACACAGGTGCTTTACCTTCTCTGTTGCAACTGCTGCATTATCAGAGCGGCAATGATAGATCAATATTTCAATTCCAATATTTTAATCCGGCATAAACTAATTAGTTTATTTCATTCAGTGTACTTTTGGTTCTCTGCCAGTCTGGATTTCAAGTTTTTAAATTTTAAGACATGGGTACTGTTATTCTAAATCTAATATTTCCAGTTTGTTTGGTGATGATTTAGAAGATAATGTCTATATTAAAAATTATGTTTATGTCATTTGTGTTGAGCAAAAATCATGATCACTGCTTAAAGTACTGACCAAAAATTTGTTGTCATGAAACAGTCCCAGCATACATATTCTTGACCCTATCACACAAACAGGCCACGCTCTTCTTGACACAAGCTCACATGAACAATACAGGATGACCTCAAGGTTTAAACTGATATGCATGTGGAGATATAGGTTAAGTGAGAATTGTTTGCAAACATTCCATACTCCCACTGCCACAGTTAATTTAACCATAGATAATGTCAATGATGAGTTTCCATACCCTGTCCACTATCATAGATATCTGGTGAACATTGTTAACTGCAGAAGGAACATGAAGTTATGACATTACCACAACATATGAGGAACATATATACTGCAGGGATTTACGGGATGAGAATTCCTGCGACCTATACGCATAAAGGATGCAACGAAATTTATTAACGTGTCCACAGGGACACAGAAAAAGTCCAAATACTTTCTGTAAAATTTTCGATGTGCTACTAGCCGGGTTATAGTATCATTTGCAGATTAATTACTCTAACAATGTGATGATCATAATACACAACACAATAAAAGTAACTGAATTACAACAATATGACAACATAGTATTAATAATAATATTCAAGTGTCTGGGACCCCCCTTTTGTAATCCAGGACCCCTGAAAATCCCAGGGAAGCTCAAATATGGGACTCAAGGTAAATCCCTGATACTGAGAGAAACAAATAAGTATGGGAAAATTCAAGCGTTCCCGTGAGAATAAATAAAGGAACACTGATATGAGGTGGTTTTCTCTTACTTGTTTCCCTCAGTATAATAACATTTAATGGATACAATAATTGAACAAACCTGACTGTTCCTCATGCTGAACTAGTACCTGCCTTGCTCCACAGCTACCCTTGATGACTTTATATAGTCACGCCCACTCCTAGGTCAGGGCTCCAGATAACTTTTGGGGGTGTGAGTGTACTTACACATCATATTGCAAGTGGAGGTGTACTGAGAATTTTTAAGGAGTACTGACATGTTTTTGTGGGAGCGAGTTGGTGATGATGTGGTGTGTCTGGACGATTCATCGATCACTATTTCCAACCATGTATGTATTTGTAGTCGCGTGAGAAATAACTGAGCAACCGTGGGATGCGCGAAATGTCAGGTCCGACTGGATATAAATAGCAACAGTGTAGTTTTTAGCCAATCGAAAAATAGTGACGCATATCGTTGCAACAAAAGAAACTTCAGTATTTATCCGAAATATGTTTCCATTTGCACGATACGTACAGACATTAAATGTTAGACGTACAAAGGTATTTATGTGCGTACACGATACGCTTGAAATCTTATATGATGTCGTACTTAATTGATTTTGAGGCGTACATTACGCCTGTACGCCCCTTATCTGTAGCCCTGTAGGTATTTTTCCCATAACCTCATCCAGATATAAACCATTACTGAAATTAATTTCCTACACACCTGTTGCACACTTTGTACACAACCTTCATAACAATAAGTACATATGGTTCCAATAAGTATCCTTTACATATCATTCTGTTATTCCCTTGTACGCCATTATACCATCAATGTTGTGTCTGTATTGTCTATATTGCGCTGGGTGACAATGATAAAGCAAACTTGTTTATCAAGCGACAGTACATTATCCTATAGATGACAATCGCAAACTGCTGTGGTTGGCAGTCACGTGGGCATTCCTCTGGTCATTAGAAGGCTTTGTTATCAGGGAGTCTAGGTCAAATGAACAAGAAATGATGGAACAGAGTAAATTGGAATAATTGCAAATTATATTGCACCACAATTAATAATTGAAGAAATGAACACAACCTATGTTGTGGCCTAAGGCAGAGGAAAGTCCATTTTGTTGATGCTGCAAGGTGGTGTAATCCATTATCTGTGGTTAACAGAATTTTCACATTTCCTTTACATTGATACAATAAAATACTTTACATACATTCATGAGTTCATATACTTTCTTAAATAAAAAAACCTTTTTCCTACTTAAAATACTGTATAAAATATATAAGAGCAGTGACAAATGTTCATTCTTTTATGAGTATTGAAATCACACAATCTGTGCATTCTAAATTAGAAATATATACAACATGTTGTCGTTTACAACACTGGCGCTGTTCTTGTGTAATATTCTCCATATCATCATACTATGTTTCAAATTTATTTAATATTGTTGCGAAAAAGTTCATACCAGAAATTTTAGTTATCAGTTATTCAAACACTATCATATGGTATGGTATAATGTATACAGTTGAAAAAGATCCCTGAAAATTATTATAAACTTGACATAGACCAGCTCTCTGGTCGGTTATTAATTTGTTATGGACATCAAGTGGCGATGCCATCACTGCAATTTCTCACACCTATAAATATGCACAATTTGTTCAGTATACCATCTATACATAAATGAATGCAACAAAAATGGTGTTTAATAATGTTTTTATGGAGGACCATGCCCCAACCCGTCTGGCAGGCTCGAGTGCTTTTATTTGAACAGTTGCACACAATTGGTTTGAATACAGTTGTAATAGCCTAGGTGCCTCCCTGGTGTTGCAGCGTCTAGTCCGAAACCAAAAGAAAGGGAAAATAAATAAAAATACCACCTGTTTCATTTTGTGATAGTACACTGGTATTCTTTCCAAATAACCGCTTACGTAAAGTAAATTCGCATTAACAGCTATATAGTAACTAATTTAAGGATATTTCGCGGGATTTTGTACTGTTGTAACGCGTAGTAGTAAGTATACAACCTAGATCTGTTGTCGTAATCCTAAGTGACCCAGATATGAAAATGTCTTCTTCTGTCCAAATTCATATTTACCCGATTTGTCTAATCAAAATGAATACATAATGGTTACGCTGAAAAGTAATATAACGGTGACATCCTGTAAGAAATGATTTCCGTAACTAAACTAAAAAGCTGATTCACGATAGCGCTTACATATTTAGACTGTTTTGGTTCGAAGGTACTGGCCTTCCTTAGTTTGAATGCGCTCGTGACCGTCCAGCATTGATATAATATGCATATTGTGGTGGTTCTCTAATTAGAACATATAGAAATGATAACTTACTGCCTTTCTCTTCCAAACCATTTTCGCTGCCTTCTGGTTTTCTGAACGTCAGCGTTACTTGTCAACAACCTAATGACCTGTCAGAATATGACCCCAGTGATCTTAAAAGGAATCAAGATGCTACTACTGTAACAACTAATTTTATTGCTTACTTCTTATTTTACTAATTGTGCGTAAGTGCTGATATGATATAGTAATAATATATATATAATATAACACACATATACACTGTAAAATCTATAAAGAATTGTATGTGGGATACTCATAAATTTATTATATATTTAAACATTTCTCTTGATTAATTGTAAGTAGTTTTAGAGAAAATAGTACAGGTTTAGAGCACATGATATTCATTCACGCGCTTGATTTACTATTTTTAGATCACTCGGCCTCAAAGGCTTGCCAGATTCTGTGAAACTCCTATTTTGTGGATATATTAATATATTTAGATAATTGCGTGGTCACTGAAATACACATGTAATAAATTTAAGCTTGAAGCCCCAAGCTTAACCTACTGTAGCAAGATTTACGACAAAATGTAGAAATACACTAAAAAGTGGCAGCCACGAAAGGGCATTACTCCTCGAACGAATTATTTGCATTTATCTTGTTTTAGCATACATATAAATACTTATGTAATATATTTTACCTTGAATCCCCGAGCAGAACATATTTTAGCAAGATTTACGGCAAAATGTTGAAATACAGTACAAATTGGCAGCCCCGAGAGGGTCTTGCTCCACGAATGAATTATTTGTATTTATCTATTATTGTTTGTTTTATATTAAAGTTGAATCCACCTCGTCATAGACTGTTGAGAGATGCAGTCTCAATGTCTCTAAAATCAACTGGAGTAGCCTAATTGGCTCATATTCTGGTCGGCTTATAATGTTGAGATATGGAATCATGCACAACGCATAGGGACATTATTTTCATAAAATTAAGTGTATTTCATTTGGCTTCAAGATATACTGTTTTTGTGTTGTAAAATTATTTCCAAGAAATAATATATTTATGTGGAACACCTGTATACGTTTGCGTTTCATAAAGTCAAATTTATTTCATTGGGTTACAAAAGGTACTGTTTTTGTGTTAGAAAAGAAAGCGGTTTATCAGAAATAATACATTTATTAGAAACAGTAAAATGCGTTTTCGTTGAATATGCGAATGTGTGAGGGACGAGTGCTCACCCCCAGATCTGACATGAATGTCCCTTTGTTCAATTAAATGACATACTCCGCTGTTAATTGTCATTGACCCACGTATAACAGGTGAGAATGATGACATCATTACGCAATCTGCATGTGTTTACTTAACATTTCCTGCATACCACGAATTACATATTCAAGTCCTCTTCCACGAGACAACTGGACTGTCTAGTTGATAAGTTGTCAGCCTTTTTGACACCAACTTGTCTAATTAGCTTGTGATTTTAGCATCCATAGGTTTAATTAGCACGTGACTATCACCAGACATTAATTATTCAGTTACGCAAGGAAATAGATTCTAATTTAGATCACGGAACCTTAGGGTTTAGGGTTACTACTCTTAATCTGTGTGCTAATATTTAAATTTGTTGTTAAGACACGCAGAGCGAAAGCGCTCGTTTAATCTCCAAATCATCATCATAGCAGCGCCAAGCTACAGTCTGTGGTACAATTAAGCAATGTAAATCCTCACGAAACTGACTCTTTTTCATTTACTTGTTATTTGAACGTATTTTATTCATGAAATGAATATGGATTGGCACAAAGTGGCGCAAAGTACAAAATACAATCAATAATTAAATTCAAACAAAATACACAAGCAATTATTTCCACACAGGCAAGAAATGGATAATAGTAGGAACATAAGTACAAATTTGCATTCAATGGGTCATAGTAATTGCATACATAATTAAGAGTTTAGAATAATTTGAATCTATTTGAATAGAGACTCGTTTTTAAACCAATGATGTAGTGTATATATTTAAATGTAATGATTTGGTTCTTAAAATAGAATAATTTTGAAATTGGAAAGGCGTGCTAGTATGTACAGCATCAGTGACGTGAGAGTGATCAAGATGATAATTCAGTCAAATGAAATATGGATCGCACATAGTTTCGAGAAGAAAATTGTCAGAAAGTTAATGCGTAGGGTTCGAGACACATCGCCGAACTGGTTTCGTTATTGGTCACCGAAAACACCATAGCAGGATGCCCGGTCTAAATTCGCGGGAACTTCGAGCATCAGCACTGGCGCGTTGAGCAGCTGGGACAGAAGCATTGCGTTCTTCGCCCGACATGCACCGAGTTGCAAATGATCCAAACAGGGTGAGACATACAGCTGATATGCAGTGTGAACATATCAGAGGTATCTTTGTGAACAATCACTTTGATTTGTTTATAAATCTTTTCAGGGAGAAGAAAACGAAAGCGGTGAAAATGGTCGGCCCTTGTTGCACCATGCCCATGGCCAATGCCATGTTGAAACGGAAGCGGCGCTTTCAGAGAAGAAAGGTAAGAGGTGCAGTTAGTTTATTGTTCAAGATGCGATCAACAAAGATTCATCTACGATTTAACAGGACATGCTGGTCGTCATTCATTTTAATCATGGTGTAGTCACCATTCTATAGCAGCCTATATATTAGCCGAGAGCCGCGATGCGGTCCTATACAGTCAAGACATGACCCTGCATCGCGGCCGAGAACACCACCTTCATAAATCCAATTCAGATTCTAGCGGCCGATTACCCCTCGTATTTTCTTGAGATTTTTAAAATATATTTCCTGTGGGTTTTTGACTGAAAAGTCGACATCGATGTACTCCCAGATAAATTCCCTATACATACATGTAACTGTCATATTTTTGTGATCATACATTTAGATATTAATGGGCCTGAAACCCGTTGAGTTCTTGTTTCAACGATAGCGAGCTGACATGTTGACATGTTGTGCGCATGCGCCAAATTTCTATAGTCCGTATCGGAGGACATTCTTCATTAGCGGTACGCAATACTCACTCTCGCCTCCCGTTTCGCGCGCTCGTACTTTGGGTGAATCACACTTATGTATATTATATTTATCTGCATTTATGTCATAAATTACAGATTTTCCTTGCAGGGAGGATTCCATTCATATCTCTACAAAAAGATGTGTCCTTGTGATCTAGCAGATGTATTAATATACAACGCAGTGCACAGAAGACTTAACCCCATGGATGCCGAGGTGTATTTTCTCTGAAGTTCTGAAAAATGAACGTTGAGCGAGAATTGCGTTAGTGAGGCACTGCTTTTAGCTACGGCTATAACACAGATATGTAGAGTATTTAATTTCCTATCCGGTGATGTAAATTTGAAGCACAAATACACAGGCGGTTTGGAAAGTAGACTTTGTTAAAGGTTGTCTGAAAAGCAGTAAATGTCTCCGTTTACAGCACGACGATTTCTTTATTTGGCATCTTTAATGAAACTTTGTGCGAATAAAATACTGTTTGATATCTGAACGACATAACAATATATGAAATGGATTTGTATGCTTATGTATAACTTTCTACGTTCAATATGAAAAATGGCTTGACGAAAGTTGATTTTCCTCTGACGTCAAGCGATGACAGAGAGGGCACACACACACACACACACATATATATACACGATGATCCAATCTTTTTCAATACAAAAATCCACATTGTAACCGGATACGTTTTGTTATTATCACAAATTATAAAGAATTAGGAAATCGCACACGAGAAAGGAGGTAATAGCTAAATGGATGGTCCTATCTACCTAGAAATTAGTTGTTAGATTCCCAAACTCTTTTGATTATGTAGATGTATTTTGACTAACGTTGCATCCTTATTAACAGAGATCGAGCCTTAATTTCAAATGTAATGAAATTTCTGAAAATACGACACCACATTAGTTGTATGTTGTAAATATTTGGCAATGCTGGAGAAAGATGACATCTGTATGTTGTTAGTATATATCTCACCTAATTTCCGTTCAAGGTATAAAAATCTCGGTTTATCATAGTATCAAATGTTTTTTAGCTAACATTAAATGTTATATTCGTAATCTGATGGAGAAGAAGTGAATGAGTATTTTTTTACGCTACTTTTAGCAATATTCCAGCAATATCACGGCGGGGACACCAGAAATGGGTTTCCCACATTGTGGCAGAATAAGTTGGACATGTGCACTGAAGTAGGTATCAATAAATTACATTCAATAAAACCAACTATCAGTTGACGAGGTTATTATGCGAAGATGTCGTATTGGCCACACAAGACATACGCATTAATATTTACTAAAAGGTGAGGATCCTCCGCTTAGTGTCCCACGTGATGAAAGAATCGCAGCCAAACATGACCTGCTTGACTATATTTTTCCATCACAAAGGATAAATATTTCAGTGCCAAAACGGTTAAAGATCTCTTTAATAATGTTAACTGTCATTTATTTATTGATGTTATAAAAGAAATTGACCTGATCGATAAAATTTGATTGATCTGTTTTATAGATACATGTATATGCATTTTTTATAGTCTACGTCTCGTCCGTCCGTCCGAAATCATTTTGTTTCCGGAGCATAACTCAAAAACCGTTCAATATTTTTCAACCCAAATTGGTAGGTATATTAAACAGAACCTAAAGTGGTGCCTTTTGCTACTTACAATTTTTTGTCATTTTTATTTTTCGCGGTTTCCATGGAAACGATTCGAACTGTGTCTCAAAAGGAGAGGTGCGCTTCGTTTCCGAAACACAACTCAAAACCGTTCAATATCTTTCAACAGAACTTATTAGATATATGAGACATACCCGAAAGTGGTTCCTTTTTCTGTTTGCGGATTTTGGACATTCATATTTTCCCCGGTTTCCATGTAAACGATTCTGACTTAGTCTAAAAGAAAATCAAGTTGGACTTTAAGTAGCTGTCAAATGATCTTCTTCTTGTTGAAAAATATTGAACGGTTTTTGAATTAAGACTCTGGAAACAAAATTACATGCCGTGGGGTGGGTTGGAGGGAGTGATAAATGAATTGTTTTAGTCACGATATAGCTAAAATATTGCCGGTGTGACTATAATCTTTACTCACTCACTCACCATTTGAATAATGTCCTGGATAGATAAACGATTGGACAGTTTACCATGTATCTTACTGTGTACAACGCGCGCACTTGTTTCGCTTCGGTTTCGCGAAAATCAAAGAAAATATTTCAAAATATAATATTTATGTTCCAATATTATGACCGGGTCAGGTCTCGGAATGTTCATTATCATGTGGCTACTCTCTTCATATTTATACGAAGAAAGGTGAACTCATAAATACCCCTTTGGTACGGAACTATCAGAGGGATGCTTGCGATTGGGCAAAAGAAGGACATGTAATGTTTTTTAAGTTTTTGGTAGTTCTTGCAGAAATAAAGTGAACAGTTTAATATCATGTCATGGGATTATTGGCAATATTTAGTGATTACGCCGTGTATATTATAAAAAAACAAAACGAGTATATTAAACGTTTGTGACAAGCGCGCACCTAGTGAATCATTAAACACCATTGTCAATAAAAAGATATAATACAAATTTCATAACCATGATGTTTCCTTATAATATGGTGTTGGAATTATCTTAACTTTGTCTTATTCGTTGTTCTTAACGGTAAAATAGTTTTCCATCCAATTATATTTCTATATTTCAGTATAATTTGATATCAGTTTGCCATTGTTATTGACCTCATTTTTCCCTTCAAAAGGCAATATCCTGTAACACAATGGATATTGCGTAAGGGGAAAAAATGCATGCTTTTCCAAACTCCATGTATAAAGTTCTGAGGTTACATGGATCGAATGGTTCTTCCGTTAATATGATATCAACATGATACAGATTCTTTCCATATATTGTTCATAGAATGCTGATTTGATAAGATCATGTATGTTCTCAAAAGAAAATATACTTTAAAGGATATATTAGTTTGACAACAGAATGTATTGACTTTATAGGAACAGTTATTAATATATGTTTAAATGTATATACACACATATTTATAAGGAATTATCATGGTTATGAAATTTGTATTATATCTACACAAAAATTATTGACAATGGTGTTTAATGATTCACTAATAAATGCGCTTTCATCTAAAATATACTCGTTTTTGTTTTTTATAATATACACGGCGTAAATAAATATTGCTGTAATTCTGTAATTTATGACATAAATGCAGATAAATATAATATACATAAGTGTGATTCACCCAAAGTACGAGCGCGCGAAACGGGAGGCGAGAGTGAGTATTGCGTACCGCTAATGAAGAATGTCCTCCGATACGGACTATAGAAATTTGGCGCATGCGCACAAAATGTCAACATGTCAGCTCGCTATCGTTGAAACAAGAACTCAACGGGTTTAGGCCCATTAATATCTAAATGTATGATCACAAAAATATGACAGTTACATGTATGTATAGGGAATTTATCTGGGAGTACATCGATGTCGGCTTTTCAGTCAAAAACCCACAGGAAATATATTTAAAAAAATCTCAAGAAAATACGAGGGGTAATCGGCCGCTAGAATCTGAATAGGATTTATGAAGGTGGTGTTCTCGGCCGCGATGCAGGGTCATGTCTTGACTGTAGACTATAGGACCGCATCGCGGCTCTCGGCTAGCCTGTCCCTACTGGTAACTTTCATTGTTGATAACTGTACCAGGTGACACTTGTGAAGCCATGAAGGCTGACAAATGTAGTGGTGTTCCGATTAATTGAACATGTTGAAATAATCAAAAATTGGTCGCAGTGACCAAACAACCAAGCAATCAATCACATTTACTCAAAATCGAACACAAACGATTTTGGAACTACTGGTTTTATCTTTGAAACACTTGACGAAGGAACATATCTTCGAAGTTGTCAGGGCCTGAAAACTTGTTTAATTCTTAGAAAACTCACTTCACTAACTGAAAAGTCATGACTGAATATTTCTTGAAGACTCCAGGAAGTTTATGTTCATGATATATTAGTCATCACTTTAAAGTAGCAACTTGCATCATGTTATACATATCTGCAATAACAACCTGGATAGGAAACTCTGAAAAATGAAGCTAACCAATTTTTTTCGATGATTGTTCGTTGATAATGAAGCAATCATCAATTGTGAGATATCAGCCAATTCCCAACATTACACAAATGGGTAAGAAGTCTGCGGCGTCCCCCAAAAGTTAACAATGAGTATGTTCTCTCAGTATGTTCAGATACAATTACAGAAACATGTTAAAACTCATCCTTATCAGATGAGGAATATATATATTCAGGTGATATGATTTGACTAGAATGAAATTTAAGGGGGGATACGGGCGGAAGTCTTTCCGACAAATACAACAGGTGAGCATCTACCTGGTGCTGCTATTTTCAAGGTGGGCAATGGTCCCAGCTGGAATTTGTTGAACTCCTCCATTGTCTTACATGGTCACTATCTATGCGGCACGTGTATGTTGCACTTACTCAGTCTGTAGAAGATGTGTAGGCTGAGTCGGTTAGATCGTTGCAGGGGTGGAAATAACCCATTGCCCGACGCCCCAGTCCAGTGTTTTTTTCTGTCGGGCTAGCAAATTTGTATGTCACGCTGTACCGGTGTCCAGTTGACTTTCCAATATTAATTATGTTGTTTACTTAAAAAATCAACAAGGAAATCGGCCAGTACAGTGGAAAAATTATCAGGGCAAGTGATTTTACATGTGCCACTGTACCAGAGTACATTGGCAATTTTAAAGTTATTTCCACCCCTGGGTTGGCTGTATTTGCTGGCAACTAGGTGCCTGATTCTAAAAAAAGGGTTCGAATCCCGGATGTGACTCAACCAAGCAAAAGTACTAGAAACTGTTCTCTGCTAAGGAAGTGTAATCCCAAATATAACATGTGTTAATTCAATCTGCTCCCAGCCCTACCATCAGAGCTGCATGTTTAATCTATGTATTCACTCCCTCCCAGGTTGTAGACGCAGAAAGATGACAATAATGGTGCTATGGCTGTTGCGGCTGATGTCCTTGTTGATGCTGCTGTACATGTTTGTGTGCCTGTTGTCGCTGTTGACGGCATCATTCCGGTTGCTCTGTGGTAAACTTACAGGTAATCTTCCTTATGTTATATACTTTTCAGGAGGCTGAGTAGAAAATGGATTGTGAAGTCAGTTAAAATACTTGTGTGAAGATCTAGATAGAATCGTTTTTCAGCAATCCATCTTTGACATAAGAGGCAACATAATGGATGGAGTAGTCAGGTTCTGGTGGTTTAGTCAATGGTATCTGAATATACACAGATGGCATACTTCATTGTCCCTTATAGAATTCACATCATTTACCTTATTGTCATACCTACAGTTTTCATTGACTAGATCATCTATGTTTGTCTACATTTTACCTAACCCTTTGTTTGTTCTCTACAGGAAGTGTGTTCTCAAACTCCTCCCTGCTCCAGAACCCTGTTACGGGACTGATGATAGGTATCCTAGCAACAGTTTTAGTGCAGAGCTCCTCTACATCAACATCCATTGTAGTTTCCATGGTTGCATCAGGAGGTATGTTCTCAATTACGCTATGCTTGTGTTTTGTCATTTTTTACAAGATAACAGAGTTTATCCATGTATGAAATGTTTATTATATTAAATATTTAGTGATGAGTTTTCAGCTTTAAAGTTCACAAGCAAAATAGTGCATGCAGCTTAAACTCCTATGTCAACAAAAGGAGGTCCTACTTTATAAAGTCTTTATTCAGGGTTGAAGGACTAGTGGCCCAGATTACAGTGGAAGCTGTCCAAACCGACAGTCATCGTGACTAAAGAAATAATCCAGTTTAGTCATCGTGCCGGATTGTAGAGATGACACAGTTTCCTATGACTAGAACTGAACCAGCCTTGTCACTCTCATATACATTGTTGTATCACATGGTTCTCTGTTACTGCACACATTGACTCAACTCACATTTGACATGTACAAGTTGATACACACTGAACTAAGATTACCTTATCTCTGTCGGCAACCATGTAGTTTCAACGCCGGGGTAATTGGTGACAATACACATCTAGAGCTGGTAATCGTTACATTTTGTCAGATCGATAATGGTCAGACGCTTGTGTCAGATCGATAATCCATTGATTATAATCATTTGGACAGTCATTTCCCTAGTCAAATCCCTATGTTAGCGAACTAACTTCCGGGTTGTAGGCAGCACCTGTCAACTTGTAGTATTTCAATGACGACGTGACCTTTATGGGAAAGGGACACCTCAATCTAAATATATCTAGCATTGCTGGTGGCTGACATGCACACTTGTGTAGTACACAGCTTCCGTTTAAGAAGTAAACAAGCAATGACGACCTGATAGTTCGGTACAAAAAACACTTCAAGGTAGAATAAAACGTTATAATGTATGTGCATCCAAATAATGATTATTTCCAATTATCGATCTGCAGTTTATTTGTAATAGACAATCATTCATTTTGACTTAGATCGAACGATTAACCGATCCTACGATTAATCGCTCCAGCACTAATTAATGGCAAACTAACATTAGTGCTACATAACCAATACTGTCAAGCATAACTACTGGTTATCAACATGGATTGCAATTCCAACCTTGGCACCCCTCTACAAGAAGTAATGACCCAGATGTCATAGTTTCTTGACACAAAATGTATGCAACAGTTAATGAAGTTGGACGGAACAGGTGGACCACATTGACGGGGACCGAAAACCTTTCACCCATAAGACACTTATATTTCTGTCATGTAAAGTTTAACTAACTCTAGCTTGATGAGATGGTGACTGTAGGCTCAACAAAAATTTCTATTAGACTTCTATAGTAACTTTAGGCACTGGGCATTAAAACACCATTGCTAAACCAGGGTTTTACTTGACGCATGATACCTGCGTATTTGACGCAACAATTTTCTAAAAGACTCTCAAGATGTTATCATACGAGTCAAGATTGACGCAAATTTTATAATTTTCTGAGTGAATTCAGTTCAATAAAATTGATTAGATAAGCAAACAGTGATAGTTTTCGTTTTATTGCAAACTGTGTTGAAAACGCTCATGTTATTAACAGAAAGTATAGGAACACCGAGTGACTGAAAATGGAGCCATGCTGCAATGTGGTAAAGATACCAGCTAATAGGATATCCATTGAATAAAAAGCTTGCAATTTGTCAGGTATATTGATGGTGAACCCTCTGGGTGAACCTGCTGGTATACAGTATACTGGACTGAACAGTGAAACATATTCTATTTATTAACTAATCATTTTAATGACAATGTATCACAAAACAGCAAAATCTTGACAAAACTCTTGAATTTTTATTTACACAAAGAAATATTACCCTAAAATTTTCATGACTGCCAAATATTGAAAATGACTCCCAAAAATAAATACTGTGAGTCACCATGACTCTCATTTTTCCAAGTCTGTGTACAACCCTGCTAAAGATGTATGTAGTCTGGTTTTGAAGCTGCTGTAAAATCATGAAATTTGTACCTTTGTGAGCTCAGCTTGAGAAGACAAATCCAGTTCTGCTGCAATGGTTGATTTGAAACAGTACACAGACTGGTTACACAGTAACATCATTCAGATTAAGCACTAATAGAAAATCGATCTCAGTTGTTGGTGTGTGTAATGTATAATGTGAGTCTTGCTGTATATGGGCAGAAGCATTGGCTGAAGTCTTGCTGTACATAAGCCCATTTCTTGTCCCCGCCGCCATTGATGTTGCTGGAATATTGCTAAGGACCAAAAGATCCAGTCTTGATAGTAAAGGTCTTCAATGTAAACCTGGGGTAGAAAGGTCCAGCAACCCATGCTTGCCACAAAGGCTGACTATGCTTGTCGTAAGAGGCGACTAATGGGTTCAGGTGGTCAGGTTTGCAGGCTTGGTTGCGCAGATCAATGCTCATGCCGCTGATCACTGGATTGTCTGGTCCAGACTCGATTATTTACAGACCACCGCCATATAGCTAGACTGTTGCTGAGTGCAGCATAAAACTAAACTCACTCACTCACTATATAATCTTGCTGTATACTCTTATATAATGTACTGGGTAAGTCTTGTCACATGATCAGTAAACATTTCTTACTTGCAGTTATTACAGTACAGAATGCCATACCTATTGTCATGGGTGCAAACATCGGCACCAGCGTCACCAACACCATTGTGTCAATGGTGTCTTTGAAAGACAGACAGCAATTCGAGAGAGCATTTGCTGGCGCCACTGTCCACGACGTGTTCAACTGGTTGACTGTCATTGTCTTGCTGCCGGTGGAAATTGTAACAGGTAAGGTCGGCACTCTTACCTATTCTCATTTCAGTTGTTTTGCCATTTCCACTTTTAGCTTAGATTTTCATTAACCTACAAGAATTAATATCAGCTGGGAGGCGATGGGGCAGCTAAGTAATTAAAGTGTTCACTCGCACGCCGAAGACCCGGGTTCGATTCCCCACATGGGTACATTGTGTGAAGCCCATTTCTGGTGTCCCCCACCATGATATTATTGGTATGTTGCTAAAATCGGCGTAAAAACCAAGATGGCATTCTTACCTTTGTTCATTTCAGTTGTTTTGCTATTTCCTCTTTTAGTTTCATCTTCGTTAACCAACGAGAAATGACATCAGTTGTATTTGAAATGAATAGTCTATTCTGCTCATTTTGGATGCTTAAATACATGTATGTCATGCACAGTGATAGTTGTTGAAATTCTTTCTGTCTTTATGCACTCAAATCTTGAAGGTCAGGATTCCATGTCTGGCCATATCTGAAAAGACAATACTTTTGTTACCTTGCCTCATGCTTGGCCTTCAAGAGATATAATAGGGACTAGTCGGCTGAATACACTATGTCAATTAGAAGTGGTCAATTGTAACATATGTCATATTTGGGATTACACTTTCTTAGTAAAGTACAAATTCTAGTCCCATTCGAGAGTGTCAGGCACCTAATCACCAGCACACAAAGTCAGCCGCCTAACCCTCTCAGCCAATGTGGAATCTGAATCTGTACTTTACTGAGAAACGTAATCCCAAATATAACATGTTACATGGGACACTCCTGTCAAACTATACCATGGTATTTTAGTAGTAGTGTGACGATTCATCGATACACATCAATACATCGATCCATGGGCCGCCGATAGGGTGAATCGATACAAAGTTTTACATTGTCTTATATCCCGATACAATACTTAATAAGGGTAACGATACATCAATGTTTAACTTTGAATATGGCCGAATCGCGATATCTGTCAAGAAAAAAGACTCACTTTTGTTCGACTGACTGACTGACTGACTTACTGACTGAGTTTGGTTTTACGCCGCTTTTAGCAATATTCCAGCAACATCACGGCGGGGGACACCAGAAATGGGCTTCACACATTGTACCCATGTGGGGATTCGAACCCAGGTCTTCGGCATGGCGAGCCAACGCTTTAACCACTAGGCTACCCCAGCGCCCCCACTTTTGTTTGATGATTAAGATATTTGCTTACTTATTTTCCTTTATAAGTAAACGTTTTCTCGGAAATTTGTGCGTCAAGAACTGTGTCAGACATAGCGCTCACATGTTATTATCATTCACAAAGTCTGTGTATAAACTTATTATCTCGTTTCCGAAATGAACATTGAAAAACGCTGGCGGAATTTGACGTAAAAATTTAAAATGTTTTTGTTTTGATATTTATGTGTTCTATAGTTGATGTTAGAATTGAATATTTTAGTATCGTGGTGCATATCGTATCGACAACCTTATATCGGGATTCATATCGATCGCAGCTTCAGTGCACGATACTTTGGTAATATATCGCCGTGACTAAAATTTTAGCATCGTGATGTATCCTATCGCAAGTTGTATGCTAATACCAGCACTATATTTTAGTGGGCTGGCACTATAAAACAACATAGGTTCGGACAAGTACAAACAGTCACACAAATCACCTGAATGCACCCTGTCTTCCAAAAGGTTATCTCTACCAGCTGACTCGCAGTATCATCAACTCCAGTGACCTTCACACCTACAAGGCAGGGAAGAAGGACATGCTCAAAGTCATCACTTTCGACCTCTCACAGACCTCATTGTCCAGGTATGGTATTCAGCGTAGAAAGGTCTTCAGCAACCCATGCTTGCCACAAAAGGCTGACTATGCTTGTCGTAAGAGGCGACTAATGGGTTCAGGTGGTCAGGTTTGCAGGCTTGGTTGCGCAGATCAATGCTCATGCCGCTGATCACTGGATTGTCTGGTCCAGACTCTGATTATTTACAGACCACCGCCATATAGCTAGACTTTGCTGAGTGCAGCATAAAACTAAACTCACTCACTCACTATATAATGTAAGTCTTGCTGTCACATGATCAGTAAACATTTCTTACTTGCAGTTATTACAGTACAGAATGCCATACCTATTGTCATGGGTGCAAACATCGGCACCAGCGTCACCAACACCATTGTGTCAATGGTGTCTTTGAAAGACAGACAGCAATTCGAGAGAGCATTTGCTGGCGCCACTGTCCACGACGTGTTCAACTGGTTGACTGTCATTGTCTTGCTGCCGGTGGAAATTGTAACAGGTAAGGTCGGCACTCTTACCTATTCTCATTTCAGTTGTTTTGCCATTTCCACTTTTGGCTTAGATTTTCATTAAACTACAAGAATTAATATCAGCTGGGGTAGCTAAGTGGTTAAAGCGTTCGCTCGTCACCCGAAGACCCGGGTTCTATTCCCCACATGGGTACATTGTGTGAAGCCCATTTCTGGTGTCCCCCACCATGATATTATTGGTGTGTTGCTAAAATCGGCGTAAAAACCAAGATGGCATTCTTACCTTTGTTCAGTTCAGTTGTTTTGCTATTTCCTCTTTTAGTTTCATCTTCGTTAACCAACGAGAAATGACATCAGTTGTATTTGAAATGAATAGTCTATTCTGCTCATTTTGGATGCTTAAATACATGTATGTCATGCACAGTGTTAGTTGTTGAAATTCTTTCTGTCTTTATGCACTCAAATCTGGAAGGTCAGGATTCCATGTCTGGCCATATCTGAAAAGACAATACTTTTTGTTACCTTGACTCATGCTTGGCCTTCAAGGCTTATAATAGGGACTAGTCGGCTGAATACACTATGTCAATTAGAAGTGGTCAAATGTAACATATGTCATATTTGGGATTACACTTTCTCAGTAAAGTACAAATTCTAGTCCCATTCGAGCGCGTCAGGCACCTAATCACCAACACACAAAGTCAGCCGCCTAACCCTCTCAGCCAATGTGGAATCTGAATCTGTACTTTACTAAGAAAAGTAATCCCAAATATAACATGTTACATGGGACACTCCTGTCAAACTATACCATGGTATTTTAGTAGTAGTGTGACGATTCATCGATACACATCAATACATCGATCCATGGGCCGCCGATAGGGTGATTCGATACAAAGTTTTACATTGTCTTATATCCCGATACGATACTTCATAAGGGTAACGATACATCAATGTTTAACTTTGAATAAGGCCGAATCGCGATATCTGTCAAGAAGAAAGACTCACTTTTGTTTGATGATAAAGATATTTGCTTACTTTTTTTCCCTGCATAAGTAAACGTTTTCTCGGAAATTCTTGCGTCAAGAACTGTGTCCGACATAGCGCTCGCATGTTATTATCATTCACAAAGTCCGTGTATATAATTATATCGTTTCCGAATGAACATTGAAAAACGCTGGCGGAATTTGACGAAATAATTTAAAATGGTTTTGTTTTGATATTTAGGTGTTTTATAGTTGGTGTTAGAATTAAATATTTTAGTATCGTGATGCGTATCGTATCGCCACCCTTATATCGGGATTCGTATCGATCGCAGCTTCAGTGCACGATACTTTAACATTTAATAAAATTTTAGCATCGTGATGTATCCTATAGCAGGTTGTATGCTAATACCAGCACTATATTTTAGTGGGCTAGCACTATAAAACAACATAGGTTCGGACAAGTACAAACAGTCACACAAATCACCTGAATGTATCCTGTCTTCCTAAAGGTTATCTCTACCATCTGACTCGAAAAGTATCATCAACTCCAGTGACCTTCACACCTACAAGGCAGGGAAGAAGGACATGCTCAAAGTCATCACTCGACCTCTCACAGACCTCATTGTGCAGGTATGGTATTCAGCCACGTTTTCAGAGCTTCAGATGACCTATTAGCAGTAATTACTAGCTCACTTACACTTATACACTTAAAGTACCAGAGAAGAGTTAAATAGTTAAAGATTGACTGACCCATAAAAAGCTGGATTAGAATTGTTCTTCAGCAACCAATGCTTGTCGTAAGAGGTGGTCAGGCTATGCCTTGGTTGACACAACTCATCGCATCCCAGTTGTGTAGATCTACGCACATGCTGTTGATCACTGGATTGTCTGGTCCAGACTTGATTATTTACAGACCCGCCGTCATATTGCTGGAATATTGCTGAGTGCGGAGTTGAACAACAAACCAATCAATAAAATATTGACAGAACTGTTGTTGATGTTAAAACCTTGATGTTAACATAAAATATTGAGAATCCATGATATAGCAATAATACGTCTGAATATTTCTATCCACAGGTAGACAAGAAAGTAATACTGAAAATAGCAGAGGGGCGCACAGAATATAAGAGTAAGAGATTGTTGAAGGTATGTATTTCCTACAGATCCATGGGTTGTTAAGAAATTGGACTCAAATGCCATGATTTCCTCAAACCGCTAATTGTCTTTTCTATCAATCCTAAAATATTTCACAGACAAATTGTGATCTGTCTAGTAAGAGGAACAGTGGATTTATTTTTGAAATCCTTTTTTTTTTTTCATTTAAAAAACACAAATGTGTTTGGCACTGACAAGTTTGAACAGAAATCTGCTTCATGTGTCAATGTGGGCACTGCGTAGTCTAGTTGTTAAAGCCTTTTACTCGTCACACCGAAGACCCGGGTTTGATTCCCCGCATGGGTACAATGTGTGAAGCCCATTTCTGGTGTTCCCCGCCATGATATTGCTGGAATATTGCTAAAAGCAGCGTACTCAACGTACATGTTTTAAGATTATACTTTGAAATGCTGTGTTCTTCATAAGTCTGAAGTTGATATCCATAAATTTTCCCTTTATTCAGTGCAGTAGTCATGACAATAAAAGAGATGCCCCAACCCATCTATCAGCAAACCTGGAAGCAGAGGTCTGCTTGTCAGCATGGGCTGTTATGAAAACAAACACAAAACTAAATGAGTGGTTAGCCAATCAAACATGAAATGCCTTGATGTTGCAGTTATGAATAGTGAGTGAGGTCTTACATCGCTTTTAGCAATATTACAGCGGGGGACAGCAGGAAAGGGCTTCACACATTGTACCCTTTTGGGGAATCGAACCAAGGTCTTCGACATGATGAGCGGAAGTTTTAACCACTAGGCTACCCCATCTTGCCTGGTTATGGATATTTTTGTACATTGATCACAATATGGACCTACCGACTGTTCTCTACTCTTCAGGTGTTCTGCAGATTCAGTGAAGTGTCATCAGCTGTGAATGTCTCCCACGACAACGGAACAGTCACAGAACTTCAAAACACACAAGAGGTTGGAATGGAGAAATGTACGTAATTTGTGGTTGTGCATGCATTAAGAGAAATATCTTGGTTATAGTTTGCAATGGGTGTGCTTATTATATTTGGATATGTGCTCTGCAGGAATTAATAGGGCCAACAAAAAAATAACTTTTCTGCCAGTAAATGGGAATGTGTAAAGTCAGAGGTTTAACATACATATCAGAGTGAGTGAGTGTGTTTCATGCCACTTTTAGCAATATTCCAGCAACTTCACGACGGGGGACACTAGCAATGGGCTTCACACACATACACTTCAGAGGGTACACAAAGTATATGATCTAGACTACCTGTTCTCAGACCTCCATTTTTGTGGTGGCTGGGTGGGTTAGAATTGCTGACGTTGTATGCTGGCGATTACGTTCCTGACTCAGGGATGGAAATAACTTTAAAATTGCTAGTGTACTCCGGTACAGTGGCACATATGAAATCACTTGCCCTGAAATTTTTTCTTCTATACCGGCGGTTTTCTTGTTGAATTTTTTAAATAAACAACATAATTAACATTGGAAAGTCAACTGGACGCCGGTACAGTGTGTCATACGAATTTGCTTGCCCGACAGAAAAAAACACTGGACTTGGACGTCGGGCAATGGGTTATTTCCCACCCATGTGACTCTGAGAGAGTTGGTTCAAATCCTGGATGGGACTCAAACTGAAAACATACTAAAATCTATACTTTACTGAGAAAGTGTTTAATCCCAAACATATCATATTAGTAATAAATAAATGTACACTCAACATTCATTTCACAATTAACTGATTTATCCTCCCCAGTATATATTCTGTAATAATAAAAAAGAATCTTTCTTAGGCCTCCATTGACCCAAAATATTTACTTTCAGGTTCAGCCCTCTTCAGTCATCTTGGCCTTTCTGACACACAATCAGGAATATTACTCCTGGTTGTCTCCCTTGTGCTACTCTGTGGATGCCTTGTTGCCATGGTGAAACTACTGAACTCTGTTATGAAGAACCATGTTGCAACAGCAATAAAGAAAATGGTGAATGCTGACTTTCCTGGGAGAAGTTCCTTCTTGACTGGCTACCTCGCCATCTTAGTCGGCGCTGGTCTCACCGTTGTCGTCCAAAGCAGTTCTGTCTTCACGTCAACACTTACTCCTCTGGTAGGCATCGGTGCCCTCGACCTAGAACGTATGTATCCTCTGACTTTAGGATCCAACATTGGTACCACTGCCACTGCCATTTTGGCAGCGCTGGCATCCCCGTCGGAAAGACTTTCGACAGCTCTTCAGATAGCGCTGTGTCATTTTTTCTTCAATATCTCAGGAATTTTGATATTTTATCCCATTCCCATACTAAGAAGGGTTCCTTTGAAGTTGGCCCGTTTTCTGGGTAAGACGACAGCGAAGTATCGATGGTTTGCTCTATTTTATCTTTGTTTGATGTTTGTCCTTCTACCTCTATGTGTATTCGGGTTGTCCTTCGCTGGATCAACCGTCATCATCTCTGTTACGTCAGTAGCAGGTCTTGTAACCATATTCATCATCATTATAAATATCTTACAAGACAAACATCCAAAAGTATTGCCAAAAAGTATGCAGACTTGGGACTTCCTTCCCAAACCCCTGCGCTCATTACAACCATATGATGATATTATCCAGACAACTGGTTATGCAATTACAAAGTGTTGTAAGTGCTGTGTTCCTTGTGCTAAAACAGAGTCGGAAGCTGCAGAGTCATTTGACCTGACCTTGACCTCAGGGTCAAGTTCACCTGACAGCAGTTGGTCATCCACTTCCTCTTCTGACAGCACAGACTCTGCAGCATCTGTGACATCATCTACACCATTGATGGTGTAGGTGTATGGAACAGTTGGTAATAACAATTGTATACCAAGTAATTAAGTTATTGAACATGTACATGTTTTAACTGCCAAGAAGGGAAGTGGGGGGGAGATTAGGAACTTGAAATTCATGCTAACCCACGACCCAGCGATAACTGAATTGTGTGGTGGACAAGAAAACATCCAATGATGTCACTGACGAGCACCATTTAAGGGTTATAATTAACCACTTAGTGCTTCAATTTTGCCAAAAACTAGAATTGGAAAAACTGTCAAAACAAGGTAAACATTTTTTTCTATATCTAGATCAGTTGAGATGTTTATATTCTTTTCCAAGTCTGTTATATTCTATTCCAAATGTTAACAGGAATTCCCCAAAGGAAAAGGACAAAATTCAGTATATATGAATGTAGTTAAAACTTCTGTGATAACTTGATCGAATGACTTGTATTTAACTGATAAAAAGACCAAAAAAGAACATGCTGAAGTTTCAAGGATGAATTTGAATGTATTGCAGCAGTATTCTATACTAATTACTACTTAGCTTTCAATGTAGACACTTTATTTTGTTTTGGATAATGGTTATTTTGTGAATGTGTTAGTGTCTTTGAAGTTTGAGGTAAGACAATGACAATTTACAGTCAAGGAAAATCATGAATATGTTGGAGCATTCGGTTATTTGCTCTTTGTTTTACTGCATCTGGTCCTACAGATTGTGTTTTCGTACCATGATTCTTGACTCTCACTGTGCACTCCACCCAGATGCTCTCGAGTTAAAATAATTTCATGGCCGGTTGGCACTTGCATTGTTTTTAGCTCAATTATCCCATAGTGATGGTGAAATATTCTTGCCCCTGAACTCCATGGTGAAATCAGGTGCTGTTTGGATTCTTCAATTTTCTTGGGCAATACCGATCCAATCAGTCTTATATGGTCAATGGGTGTTTTGGTCTCTGGTCCCTTTACTGGTCTAGAGGTCTGTTGGAGTTAAATCACCCTTCTTGTATTCTTGCTCCTCCTCTCTGGCCAAACTTAACTTTACCAAACTTCAGATTGGTATTCCTGTCTCTGCCCCTGACCTTGCAACATTAGGGTGTAAAAAGCAGAACAGAGCCGTTCTCTAGGTCATGTATTTTATTATACTGAAGATGGACGACCTAAACAAAACAAAAACATTCACTATAGATGGTAACATCATGGATGGCCTGTCACAGATGAAACTTGTACATCGTAATCCCATATTACAAATTGGTATAAGAACCATGTATGTCTGAAAGTATCAGTTATCATACATAATATCCGATTGTGTAATATATATAGTAAATTATTTTAGATTAGCACAGTGCATAAAAATACAATATAAACATTCACATGGATGAAAGCATCTTTTACATACAAAGTCAACTGTACCAATAGCACTTGCAGTAACTTCCAGCAAACATACAGAAGGGTACGAGTATTTCTATAAAATCATCGCCTGTGAGTGACGACCGAAAACTAACGTAGGTCAACACACTTTAATCTGTGATCATCAAAACAACAATCGCCGGGGAGGAACAACCGAAACACGAGGTTGCCACGAAATAGGGTTTTCCCAACAACTGCTGGCAATTAACATAAAAGTGAAGGGCCTCTACTGGCGCATGCTTTATGTGGAATTGTGTGCAATTCATTGTTGCAAACTTTAATTTGACAATTATTGCCTAAAGCTGCGTATAACTAAAACTCACTCACAAATTTGTCAGTTGGACGTCAGGGCCTGCTTCTGCTTGCCGGCTTTAAAATATATAGCCCCTGAATGAAATGCAGCATTCACTTCAGGAAAGGTCATTCTGTGCATGTAATAATGCCCACTTTGTACGCAGAAATCACGGCCATGATAGCCACTGTGACCTTTAGTGCACTTCACAAACGATCGTGCTGGTGTGTCACAAACAAAGTTTACTATGGAGACTTTGTATGTTTTATTGTCAAATGATACACCATTTTCATTGATAGCTTTCATCTCATCGACAAAAACTGAAGGTAAACATTAGCGTGGGAGGGTTTGGAAGACCCAACCCATAGTCCAATTACAAAGCGTTCTGGGTTGATCACTGGTGTACCCGATGCATTTGAAACAAATTGAATCTGGATACGGGAAGTTTGCCCAGTATTTCCAGTCTTCTGAGTTCATGTTGACGAATAGGCAATTCGTCGTGCAGCTTTCTGAGAGCATAGTACGACACAAATCGTTCATTCTGGAACAGAGCTACGCAGCTCACAAATGTCAATACGGTGACGAGTGTCCTTTCAGGCAAGGCCTTTGGTTTCAATTTGTTTGCACATGGCAGGATCCATGGAAAGGGTCGAGTGAATTCTCGTCGAAGATGACTGACGTGTGCGAGTTTCCGGGCTTCCATTTCACTGAGCACAACTTGTGTAAGAACACTTGCCCTATGCTGTCCTTCTGTACAGCTTTCAGATATGGCCAGGTACTGAAAGCTTGTGTGCCACATAAAGTGTGGATGTCTCTGACTGTCATAGAGACGAAAAGCTGGGAAATAGTGTAGGTCGAGCTCTTTAATGCCAGCTTGAATGATTTGACCTAAATCCTGGCTCCTTAACATGTGAATGATGGCACCCCAAACCATTGGAAATTTCACGCCCTCCGCTTGGGACAGCTGGTGTGTCAACTGGTTCATTGTAGTGGTTCCTGATGTAGGGGGTGTTCGGCCCTGTCCCTTCAGAAAGAGCAGGAAGTCACTTTCTGACATGCCAAACCTCACACCCATCTGGTAGAAGTCTTCAATCAGTATAATCAATGCCCGTCGACCAACAATGTGAGAAGGCTCACCCACCAGGTCATGGAAACCAAAAACTCTTCTCATTTGATTTTGTGTCAGGTCACTGGAAGACCACACTGTTAGTGGTGGTGGCACGTCAGTAGACTGGGTTGACTTTTCCCAGGGTTCCAGAGCTAGGAATCCTAGAGAGTCTGTCTTGCATTGCGACGGATTACCAAGGCCAACTCCAAGGTTCACAGCACACTGATGAGATTGCCAGGAAATTGGATTGCCCCACAACAACTTCTCCAGGGCCAGCTCTAGCTGGTAGGCAGACCACACCGCAGCACAGTTCCCGGTACCTTTATAAACATCCAAAGTTGCATGAAGCTTGTGGACGAGGCACAGTCCAATGTTAGCCACAACCGATGCAACGGTGTCCGAAAACAAACTTCCGCGATGAAATGGTGTCATTAAAGCATGGCTGCTGATGAGATCCTGAAGGTGCTCTATATCCATCAGATCGAGTGGCTTCAGTACATTGATGCTGGTTAGAGTACGGGTGACAAACTCAACACGACACTGGAAGTTCCTCATGATGGAGAAGTTGTTTCCAACCACACTGAGGTATTCCATCGAATCTCGTTGGAATGATGCTCTAGTGACATGGTTCACTGCTTTGTTGGCAGCCATGCAACCAGACACGGGGGTGATACCTTGTTTTGGGTCGCTGATGTGGAATGTCCGCATATAGTTGAACAAACTGGACGTCATTTGGTCTTTTGCTTATTTTCAACAGTTCTGTTGTCACATCCATTGACCTACCATCGAGATTCGATTGAAAGTTTCCACTTTCATAAAACGACATACAGCTGCTCAGCGTACCCCTATTTCCAACTAGGCTGGCAATGCCACACCGCGACCACATGATGTCTGTGCATGGAGGGGGGGCGTATATTAACCCCGACATGGGCAGTGATGGCATCCAGGGCCCGGCTGGATCAAGTGGGAATGTCGATTCCTTTCTGTGCTTTTTCGCCAAAACGGAAGCTGAAGACAATCTTTCTCAAACCTGGGGGACTATCCACTGCATTAATGGACTCCTGCAGAGCATTGAGAATGGCTGTTTGGTCGTCTGGAAGGACAGTGACGGATTTGATCGCCGATAGATTGTTCTTGCTGATAGTATTTATGGCCAATCCATCTTCAAGCAGATCTCGGAGATTTTGTGACAGCTGGGTCCTAAGTTGTAGCACGAAATTGTAAGTGAGTTTCTTCAACGTTGTTGCATCGTACGGCATGTGGCCACCGTCCGGCGGCACCAAGCTGATCCAATACTCCCACCCAGCTTCGTACATGAGTTGAAAGCCACAGCACTTCCGTAGGTTGCTGGCCAATTGTCCTGATAAGCTGAGGTGTTTCCTTAGGAAAGAGTGGATTGCTCTTACACTCCTACTGTCGTCTGCACACAGAGAAACCTTTCGTATGGGATGTTTGATTCAGATTGCTCCTCACGGCTGACCTTGCTGCTCCTGACCGACACGTATTCATCCCGTTTCAGAAAGGAATGCACTGATGAGAAGTCATTGAAAACTTCCATAAAGTTCTCAGCGTTTTCTTTCCCAGTTTGCAGGAAGACGTGACTGGGGGTGGGATTCATCATTGTATGTACTGGGACGGCGGTAGGCGATGGCACCCGTGCTTGATGAAGCCTACTACATCCCACTTGAGGCGTAAACTGCACCTGAAACAAGAGAAAAGCAACGATGACTTGGAGGGTAGCCAAGCAGAGGAAATGGGGAGCATGATTGTGAGTCTGTGACTTTGATGAATTTAATTATGCAACTGTTGACAGCTAAACTTGGACCAAATACTTAAGCACCTAACGCAGGACTTGGTTTGGGTGTACAACACACACCTAAAGGACTCTGGTTACTCATGGCCAACAATTCACAGTATCTCACCTAGGGCAGGGTGAGCGATCCCCCAGAGCTACAGCGACGACAGATGAAATCATTCCAAGTATAGGCCTGATGTACCCATCAACGCCGAACGCCAGGCAGGGACCAACAAGTACCATATCTTAACATGTTTTGGTATGACATAGTCGGGGATCAAACCCGCATCCTTCTGCTCTCCCGGTGGACGCTCTAACCACTACACCACGGAGACAGTCATGCTTAACTCCTGATGCTCCATGCAGGCACCATGGCAACAATTCACAGTATCTCACCTAGGGCAGGGTGAGCGATCCCCCAGAGCTACAGCGACGACAGATGAAATCATTCCAAGTATAGGCCTGAATGAGTGGCTGGGGCAAACCATCTATATTCAGCTGAATGCGTATTTCTTCAAAATGACACAAGTATGTTGGCCATGTTGCATAACACACACGCGAGTCGCATGACAATAGTAACAAGAAATTAAGCATATGTACAAAAATGTCAAAGCAAAAAGCAAACATTACCTAGGCACCAGTCTTAACAGCTGGAGCATGACATTGACTAAACTACTGACAAAAGTAACAATAGAGACAAAACCTAACCATATATACAGAAATATGATAATATATAACATTAATATTGTGATAGATATATGTACCGATCTCCAGAGTCTCCTGACATTTTGTTATTACTTAGGAGGATGATGAATCTGGGAGTGTCTGCTTGGTCTTCATCTGTAACTAGGGACCTGAATGGAAATATTATATTATGAATTGGTTTGGCAGTAGTTGTGTATAAACAGTAAGTTGGTACTGGGAATGTGAATGAAATGGAAATTGGAATTAATTGTTACATATTGAGGTCAATACTGAATTATACCTTTGGAAAAATTCTTCTCTCTCTCCCTCTCCTCTCCCTCTCCCTCCCTCTCCTCTCCCTCTCTGAATGTTATAAGAAACTGCAATAACACTAGCCGCAGTGATATACTCTTGAAGGCGGCATTAAACACCCAATCAGGTTTACCTCACCTCAAATGTTCAATGAAAATGTATTACAGGTTCTGGAAGTCAAAGATATTATTGTAAATCCATCTGTAAATAATCATTGTCATTATACAACTCATGACATCATACAATATTATTAGAAATAGAAAGCTCTCTTCAGTTGGCCACCTGAGCAGGAGCATAATTCAACAAACAGGCATTAGACATGTTATTCATCTTTAATTAGATCACAGTAACATTTTTATCACATTCCATTGAATTACGACCTACCTCACCAAAGTACTGAGCGACACTAAACTTCTACCCCTGACAACTATAAAACTACCTTTTTTTGCCAAATGTATCTATTACAAAACTACAGCATTGGTTGCTGTTAAAACTGTTAAATCTGTTTGTTCTTCAAATGACAATAGCATTAGCTCAAAGAAAGTAATGCATTGAAATCTCATGTTTTAAATGTTTTACAAGAAATACACTTCAAGGGAAGACAATTGTTCATCTCATCGGACCAAGGCCCCCATACGAAATATTCTTATAAGTTTCTTACAAGTTTCTTATAAGAATTTCGATACTTATAAGAATCTTATAAGAAACTTATATGTTCTTATAAGATTCTCACATATTCAACCAGTACCAACCATAGTTACAGCTGATGACCGTTTTCACAGCAACGCAAAGCTACACTGGCATTGCAGGCTTTCTCCCTGCAATAACACTTGAAGGCGGCATTAAACACCCAATCAGGTTTACCTCACCTCAAATGTTCAATGAAAATGTATTACAGGTTCTGGAAGTCAAAGTTATTATTGTAAATCCATCTGTAAATAATCATTGTCATTATACAACTCATGACATCATACAATATTATTAGAAACAGAAAGCTCTCTTCAGTTGGCCATGTGACTGGAGGGACGCTCGGTGTACAAGATGGAGCCGGGTCAGCGTTAGCGCTGGAATTTCGAAGTGGAAACGTCCGTAGTGGTGGCATTTGTGTATTTTGGCGGACCATTATCTAGAAACAAGCATCATTAACTTATTCTTTGGCTGAATAATAATCTTTAAACTTGGAATATTGTACCAAATTAAATACTCGAATGCTTGAAATTTGCGGAGCAGTTCATTTGTGAATAAACATCATTGAAGGATATTATTTTATGGCTCTTTAATCACTTTACTATTATCTGATCACATATGATTATGTGCCATGTGATTGTATACACCATCATCTTTGAATAATTCTTCCAAGAATTTGTCGTCTTCAAAGATTGTATCAAAATCCCAGAGAAAGAATTTGAGGTGGTAATGTTCCTCAATTATGCAAATTCATGCAGCGAAAATAGAACGGTATTAGTGCCAATGTATTAATGTGCGGTTATTAGGCCATCATTTTCAGGTATGTCGAACAATATTCGACAAGGGTAAGTAACCAATCAGATTGCGGAAAGCACTCACTATTGGTTTACAATATTGATTCAACAAACAAAATTCTACATACAGGCATTAGACATATTATTCATCTTTAATTAGATCACAGTGAACAATTGTCTTCCCTTGAAGTGTATTTATTGTAAAACATTTAAAACATGAGATTTCAATGCATTACTTTCTTTGAGCTAATGCTATTGTCATTTGAAGAACAAACAGATTTAACAGTTTTAACAGCAACCAATGCTGTAGTTTTGTAATAGATACATTTGGCAAAAAAGAGGTAGTTTTATAGTTGTCAGGGGTCGAAGTTTAGTGTCGCTCAGTACTTTGGTGAGGTAGCTCATGATTCAATGGAATGTGATAAAACTGTTATTTTTTACCAAGGCCAGACTCTCCACTCCCGACATCACTGAATATTATGTCAGTGCCATGCTACAATACATGGTACAATACATGGTGCAATACATGGTGCATGACATAACACAGATACAGTTTTACGGCCTTTATCTGAAGCCCTGATGTACTACAACCTGTATCACTGGTCCTAGTAACAGTCAGAGGTCAGTAGCGATCACACGGTTCTTGTTCTTTTTACGTGAGTCCGCACACTGGCAGTTGATGATTTGTACCAACTCTCTCTCGGTTGTCTTCGGGCTCTTTGATAACACAAACGCTGTAATGAAAAGATTGATTATAATCAGTTTAATTTAGCTGTATTATGTTGCACAATATTGACAATGTTTGTATCAACAGTGTTACAATATTTCATTTGATAACTGGTGCAAAGTAGCTTGAAATGTAGAACTGTTTAAAAAAAGATTTTTATCTATGTATAAATGATGTGACAAACAATTTATAACTGAGTAGAAACACACTGCTCAAGTTACATTGAAGAATTTAGTTTGCTTTACCTTCCTTATATGAAATTATATTTAAATATCCACTCTAACTTTTATTACAATTGTTTATATTTCATTGCTGTGGACCTTTTTACACAAACTTGTATAACACAATAACTGTATATAAATACAATGTATAGAGATGTTCAATTCTATATTTCCATATGCTTTAACACTTTTTTTGGCTAAATTTTGCAAGGTCTTTAATAGAATTACCCTTTATTGCTGCCACTGTCATTGTTGGCAAAGCAGCCTTCGTCCCCTTCCCTTCTGCCGAAGATCCCCCAAGCTCCTGGTCAGAAAAAAATGCATGGAGCAAATTTCTGACCAGCTTGGAGGTCGATCCCTTGGCGGAAGAAAGGCAGGCGTCTAGGACCATTTTCTTGACCATTACCCCTCCGCCAAGGTCAACAAGGTCAGCTTCACATGATGGCGATGACTGAGTGATTGCCTGGGGTGACATAGGTGACAGTGATGGGGAAGGCGGCGGCGGGGCTGGTGGAGACATAAGCCTGGATTTCGGGGGAGGGGAGAAAGCAGAAGGTCGAGGAATTAATATTGATTTGCTTGGCTGCGGCAGTGTTTCTGTGGCTTGAATGACTGGACATAATCCTGCCAGTTGACTAATAAATTTTGTACACCTTCTGACCTCAGAGAGGATGCCAGAGCACCATTGCATGGGCATGCCTGAATTGTCTTTGGCTGAAGTCTGGCAAGGTTGGCTTGCATGGCAAAGAGTTCCTCATCCTTGTCCTTTATTAACTGCTCCTTCTCCTTTATGATTTCTTCCTTCTCCTTGATGATATTATCTTTCTCCTCAAGGCTGCGCTTCAGCTCCTCCACCTCATCACTGTCTCCATGGCCGTACTGCACCACCAGGAGCTCCTCCATCTTCTCCTGGGCTCCAATCTGGGCCTTCTTTTCAGCCGCCTTTGTAGTCTTAGGTTCTTTCTGAAATATGATTTTAAAAAATTCAGTATATCTTTAAAAGCTAATAAAGTCAATATAATAATTTTAACAATAAAAAATACTTGAATTATTTCATACAAACATCACAATATCTCTTTATATCGTCAAAACTTCTTTACTTTGAAACGGTCTTGCAGTCAATTATATTTGTGATGAGCAAAGACAGTTTTAATTTGTTTTATGACAAGGATTCCAATTATTTTGTTTTCAATGTTTACTTGCCACAGGCCCTGATAGTTTTGCATACACTTGCCCATAAAGAACTTTTAAGTAATTGTCAGTAAATTACATTAATTTCTGACATATATATGTAACGTAATATTTGTAAACATCATAAAGATTCACAATCACTGGTTAATTGACCAAGGGAAAGTTGACATAAGTAGTTTTTGAGTAGAATTAATCAATATTGATTGTAATATATCAAGTTTTTGCTTGTAGTTACTTTGGTTTTATATGCACACACTCTAGTTAAACTCTCTAATGTCTAGTCCCATAGATCCAAATTAGACTTCATGAAGTGAGATACCTATTTGGGTTTTGTCAAGCTGATTTTTCATATACTTTGTTACCAGCCAATATTATCTTAATCTATCCCTCCCAAAGGCCAGCAATGTTGACATTGGATAATTTCTGAGCATGCTAGACACTGGCAGGATGGGACTTTCACTACATATGAAGGACAAAGTAACGTGTCTTAGTAATGTTAGGTTTTAAGTAAATTGAAATCTACAATTAACAAATCCTTTATCCTTTTCCTTATGAGAATTGTGTCCCTTTCAAAGTATTGCATACCTTTGTAGGTTCTGTTACACGTCAGGGTTGGCCAGTTTCCTCTTTTTGGGTTCTGATTCCTTATCAGAATCGTCTTTCTTTTCCTGCTTCTTCTCATGCTTATCTGGATAAGCTACCTTCAGCAGAGTTGCCTGCTTTGCCGCTTCTTCTTTGTCAGCTAAAAGGACAGAACAAACTCCAATGCAGGTACGATGTTATAGAAAACAGATTTCAACTGATAAACACTTTGACAAGTATAACTAAGGCAATAAAAACAATAATTTCTTGTTTTTACCTCTTCAAGGAGCTAGGACACTATCACTTGTTCTTTTAATGTCCCATTTCTAAAACATTTCAAACTAAAGAAAAGTCTTTTCCTGATCATGCGTATTACATCACATGAAATGTTTTTGAAAATATGATAAATGTTTTTCAAATAGTGTTAAAGATATCAAAATACTTTCTGAATGAACTCATCTTCTCTTTCTGGGCATGGCCTAGACTAAGGCTAGACCCAGCCTAAGTGCTATGTTTTTTATTCGAGATGTATGATTACATACAGAAACAATGATAATCATGATACTGTATCTCACACAAAAAATATATCAATAATTTTTTTCATTACTGTGGTTTATATTTTTTGGCTAAAAATTGTAGAGTTTCACAACTAATTCAGGATTATTCATAAGCTACTATGTTACATCCTATACTACTCACACTTTGTTAAGGATCACAAAAATTCACAACTTTACTTAAACGTAGATTTATAATTTGAATTTTGTGTCCATTTAAAACTGGATAAATAATGATATGGTAACACATCTTTAGGAAAATAGCCACTCTAAGCTAACTTGATACATGAGTAACCATAAAAATGGTTTTCATGGCACCAACCAACCATTTTGCAAATCATGGCACGGGTCACTGACAAACCCACAACATCTGTCAATAGCAGGTATGGGATCCACATGATGCAGTGACATACTGAAAACTTGGATCCATGCTTACAATAGGCCTAGATATTTAAACCAAATTTGACCCCACATCATAGTTTTCGGTTGAATCAATGATTTGATCCTTAGCAAAGTGTGAGTAGTATATTGCAACACATTAACGTTGGTAAATATTTGAGATAAAGTGTGTTATGCATTCAATCTTATTACTCATTGAAGATACTGCAGTGTTAAACATTTATAGGGAAATATTGCACTATTGTAATACCACTGCCCATAACATCATAACGTTTTACAGCTGTGACGTCACAATGTTAGTACCGCCATCAGAATGCCATGGTATTTATCATAATTTGAGTCAAGAAACTCTTAGCGTCAACAAACTGTCAGCGATTTCGCTTGTTTCTATTTGACAAGTAATAAACATGATACTAAATTGACACTTTCGTGAAATACCATTTTTAGTATACTGAAATGTGAACAATTTAGTATCAAACTTGCTTTTCGCTCACTAAATGTTACCACATCATTAACTTGTTTAGTAATGATGGTATTGTAACATGGCTCCTCGCTTAGTATCCTCTATTTATTGTATCATTCCAAGATATCATGATCTGTAATATATCGTGGAAGTCTGTATCCTCGGTCCAATCTCTTGTTGATACCTTGCTGTTTTGAGAATGTTTTTAGCGAGACATTACATTTTCACTTAGTCCAAACACAATGCATCTAATTTATAAACCAACCACAGCGATGAAATGAGACCCAGGAAAAGCTGATCCAACTACCACTAACAATCAAAATGGAAGTAGCTCTTGCTAACTCAGGATCAAAATGACCTCTAACTTCAGTCATTCATGTCTTTTATACCTACATCCTAGAAAGAGAATCTTGGCCCTGTACATATTCTTATCCAATGGCCATACACCAGTCTCCTTCCTGTAGGTCGCCCTTTTGAAGAGTCACCACTGTCTCTTCATCCTCCACCTCTGTTCCCTTGAGAACTCCACTCAACTGGCCATCGAAATATCTCACAACAGCCCATTTCACTATAATGAATTAAAATAACAGGTTTTATTTAAAAAATCAGTGGTATATTACTCACATCTTAACAAGTAAAATCCAATGACAACTTTAATAACAGTAGAAATAGGAATGTGTTTAAATTATGTCAAATATATATACATTGTAATTTAATTGCTACGACGGTACCAAACCATGTGCACTGGTAGGCAGAAAGCATGAGTGGCCACCAACAATAATGTGACTTGCTGTTGGGTAAAAAGTGCCATATATTTATGAACAAACATGCCTGACATCACTGGCAAGACCCAGGGCAGCGGCAAATTCAAACTCGCGTAACAACCAAATTATTAAAGAACTTACCTTAATACTTGGTGATGTATCCCTTGGCAGCATTGTTTCTTGCACCATTACAAATACAGAAAAGTTCCAGGTTTTCCTCAGACCAGTCTTCTCGCATTAGGTGAAGTTTTGGAGGACTTTGATACAGCTGCCTTAGCCTTGGATTTGGATTTCTTCTCTTTTGTGGCTTGTTTTGGTTTGTCAGGCTGTCTAAGGGGCTTCTTCTTCATTGACTTTTTCCTGCAGATGAGATTTTCTCCTCTCCACTTGAACTGTAGAATTTTCCAACAAGTTCCGGAAGAATGACTGTGGCAAAAACCTTGTTGATCCATCCACTAACTTGTTCCACACCTCATTTTTGGACTCAATCCGTTGAATGAAAATGTCTTTTGGAGTCCATACAGTAAAATCGCAGTAATCTACATCAGCAATATGGACATGAGTCTGAACTTGTGAGTAATATGCATGGGTTTCCTTCAGTTTAAGTCCTGCACTGGTATTCTCAAGACAAGATCCTTTCCCAGCCCTGACGTCCTCATCTCTCATGGAATACAGACACGTCACTTCAACACATCCTCTTCCACAACAGTCACATTCCACTATGCCATCGGGAGAAGCCCCGGGATGAGGATTGTTGAGGAACAAGGTCGGGTCTTGAAATTCACATGATCTTCCAAGGAAATATCAGTGTAGTGTCTCCTGGCATCATCTTCATGATCACAACCCCATTGCATAGCAGCATTTGTAAATCTGTTCGTGTGGATAACGAATTTGTTTCACTAGGCTGTATGATGGTTCGTCACATGATGTCGCACAGGCTGCTTTTATCCTCGAAGATGTTATTCGTCCTGTCCGGAACCGAAACCACAAGTTACAGTCAGTTCGTTGCCTGGTAGCTGCCTCAACACTGATGGCTTCTTCCTCTGTAATGGCGATACTGGGAAGTAGTGTACTACAATGTTCCAATAGTTCGTCACGAGGCATTCCTTCGCACTTGTCATCCCTCAGTTGAGTTACCACCTTTGGGTACTTGGCCTGAAGACTATCTGGCACATAGTCTGTGCTGTACTCCTTCTTCACTGCCAAACAAACTGGTTTGTCTTCCTTCAGTGACTTGAAGAAAGTGTCATACCTTGTCTGAGAAATGTTCACAGATAGATTCTTCGATGAGCTCTCATCCCTATTTACTTCTGTGTGGGTTTTAAGAATCAATCTGTTTATCAAGTTGTTTTTTAAGTGTCTTTACTGATGATCTCACGTAGTGGAGCATTATATAACTGAACACTTGTCTTTGAAGCAGGACATCCAGTAGGCAGGAGTCACTGTACTGTCCTCTCTCATCCTGACTGTTGCCTCTACATAAAACAAAACTGATGCCACGTGAGAACAACACTCTCCCAATCCTGCCTTACAGTCACAGTGGGCTGACGTCACCTTAGATTGATTATCCGTGATTATCCAGGGTGTCAAACTTGGGCCAGATAATTTCTGAGAATGCATGACTCTTGCCTTGATGACATGATGTCCACTGGGCTTATGCAGATAAACACATACGTCACGAACCCATCCACAAACAAACCGGTCATAGCTATCAAGACTCTTGTAATTCTGAAAGTCTTTCAAAGTGTAAAGTGGGCTGGGTTGAAAAATCAAGTAATTCACCAAGTTCAGGTGTGAAACTTCAGGGAAGATGTCGTGATCTTTACTCCACTTAGACTTGTCGATCTGGTAATGATCTTCACCACCAATTACAGATGTTTTCTCCTTGTAACGGGTAAAAGCCTTCTTGTCTAGTGACTCGGAATACTTCTCCATGCTCCAAATCAGGTGAACTGTTATTTTCCACTGAATACCTTGGAAATATCACATGTGTACTGGTAAGCGCTATTGTGAACAGATTGACACGGTAAACAAAGCCTTCCAAACTGGCTGACCGGATGGCCTTGTGGGATACTGTTACTATTTTTAGTAAAAAGGACGAAGCTCTCTATAATGTGACTTGCTGTTGGGTTAAAAAGTTAAACGATGGTCAGATTATGTGCTAAAGTTATCTGTTGAAGACCACAAGCGGTATGTTTCAAAGCTGAATTATCTTGAAGTTTGCCAGATCCCTACTTTTTGGCGAGTAGTTAGGTTGACGACACATGTTCTTGGCTGGCCATAAGATTTACGGACATTTATTTTTATCTTGTGGATATGCCAGACTTCTACACAACAGTCTGTTATCACCCACACTTTCTGCAGGACTGTTTGATTATTTCGGCATGTTTCGTATTATGTCTTCGCTTTCAGGCCAGTGTATTAGGAAAGCTAACTTGCTGGCAAGTGGTCGAAGGGCCATACTGATCAAGTCATTGACAGTTTGTTGTGATACACAGAATCTGTAGGTCAAGTTCATGAAGATAATTCATGAAGTGTTCACAAAGAATCTTGTTTTTGCAACACCACAAGAATTGGTGACTCTTAAACACAGAATTTGACATCTAATCCTCATGCTCTCTAAAGATAAAAAACATCAGAGTGACATTTAGTAGAATACTATTTAATTAATGGTGAGTAATTCCTCATTCAATAGGTTAACAAAAATAGAACATACCAGGTAGAAATTATTGACTGAGATAAAATAATTACACCAGCAATCAATGACAAAACTACAAGGTAGAGAGAGATCTCAAATTAGTGTCCGATCTGTTAAACAAATAAGAAGGGATTATGACTTTTCCACATGGTCACATGGTCGACTGCAGTGACCTTTCCTGTCACTCTTCAGACAAGACCACTTTCGCAAGTATAGGTTAGCAAGCTTTCTATCGCAACTGCCACAGTCTGTTTCGAAGAGTAAGGCAAGTATGCATAAGATGATAAGAGTTAAGTTTAAAATAGTTTAAAAATGTTATGCCTTATTCAGTAATACTAATGTTAAACACATTTGTTTTCGCCCTTGAAGCCCGGAGATGTTTCTTTTTGAAATTTCTCCACAAATGTTTTCATGTCAAAGGCAAGTGACAGGTGCTTGGAAGCAGCCTGCTCAATACAGTTTTACAAGTTTGGGATTGTGCGCTGGTCTTGCTTGTTCCTTTGTGAAA